AACATCCAGAGGGCCGTGCACCGCCAAGTTGATGGTGAAAAGCATGTCCACGGTGGTGCAGCAAATGTAGAGCAGACTGTACCAGGTGCGCCAGCTGTGCCTGCTGAAGTACAAGCCACGGGCGGACGCCGCACGCACGCCGCGCACGGGCATCAGGCTGAAGCATTGGGCAAGGACGAGCACTGCAAAAAACCGCAAAAGGGACCGATTGGAGTCAGTTGATGCCGATGATGATTTGGGGGCTGTGGCTCACCTGGCGCCACCGCCTGATGGAAGCTGCCGTCATGCGAATGGCTGTGCCGTATGCCACGACCCACGCGCCACGCCCTGCGCTGCTGCAGTTGCTCCAGCCAAGCCCGGCCATGCTGCTGCAGTTGCTGGCGCAAACGTTCGCAGCGCTGACCAATGCGATGTCGCCGCATTTGCATTCGCCACATGACTGCGCACTTATTGCGGTACTTTGTCGGGCAGTGCTGCCCATTCGAATTCGAATCGATTGTTATCGCCCTAATTGTTATCGCTTTAATTGTTATCGACACGCGTCCTGCCCTAACGAGCATTTAATTGCCCGCACTGTGGTATGCTTTGAAGGGCAAACGCAAATGTTATTGACATTCAAAAAGAAGGTCGAAAGGGGCTCGATATTTGAAGGATATTTTTATATGCTGATTCTAGCTCCAAAAACTTAGGCACATGTTGAGTTCCGCCTGATATTTAAGCTATATCAGAGATGTGGTCCTCAGAGATATACCCTATCTAAAATTGTGTAAATATAGTCGAACTGATAAAATGCAATCGCTCGGAAATTAAGAAGTCTGCAATTTTCATGCCTGATATCTACGAATAAAACTCGTTTTGCAAACCTTGTTATTTTTTACGTTGACATGTATATGAAATTTACATCAATATCCGATTCCCTAATATTTTAAGTCAAAATGTTTTTTTTTTATATAGAATTTTTGATCAAACGAACATCAGCTCTGGCTTTTTGTATCGCTTTAATTTCCTATTCAGAGTAAACTTTGTGAACAAGGTATTTAAATCAAATGCAACCGCACACATAGAAAAAAAAGAAAGAAGAAAATTGTGCAAAAAAAATAAATAAATAAAGATATAAACGCATTGCAAGGATTACAAGATGTAAGCCTTCAGCTTACCCGATTTGCAATCAAGCGAAAAGCTGAATAATTGGCGCATATTTTAAGCGACAGGCAATTAATTTGCCCCACGGTGCGCTACAAATGTGCGGCACTTGGAATTGCGAATCGCAAAGAGGCGCGATTAGTGCCTAATCGCCATATATATATGTATATACAAAGCTGATTGACTGACAGACTGAATGAATGGTGATAAATCACCTTTTTATCACTTGTGTATACAGATAAATACACGTAGATGCGTGTGAGTGCACGCTAAGGCAAGGTTTTTGCAATTCCACCTGCGAGAGTGGAAAATTCGCGGAATGTGGTTGTTTGTATATATTTATTGTAAATCATTCGAACAACCTCCAAACCGTTTTTAAAGATCTTTGTGAAAATTAATTTGAGCAAATGCGAACTTCCATTGTGGAAAATGGGCTGCAAAGATAAAGCGGGTAAAGTTCCAAGCTCAAACCCATTTCTATGGGAAAGAGGCTTGGAGCGAGAAGGCTGGTCAATACGCGCTCTTATCAAACGCATAGCTCATATGTATATATATGTAGATGTGAGTGCACGCTTAGACAAGATTGTTTCAATTCCACCTGAAAGAGTGGAAAATTCGTGAAAACTGTTGTTTGCATATATTATGTTATGCTTCCGAACGCTCTTCTAAATCATTTTCAAAGATCTTTGTAAAAATTAATTAAGTAAAAGAATAACCTCCAAGGTGGAAATAAGCTGCAAAGATTAGGCGGGTAAAGGTCCGAGTTCAAATCCATTTCCATGGGATAAGGCTAGAACCGGGCAAAGCTGTTAAATACGCGCTCTTATCAAACACATAGCTCATATGCATATATATAAATGTATATATAAGTATGCTAAGGCAAGGTTTTTTTAATTCCACCTGCAAGAGTGGGAAATTCGCGGAAAGTGGTTGTTTGTTTATATTTTATTAAACTCCCGATTGCCTTCAAACTTATCTTCAAATCTTGAGAAAATTAAACCAACTTTTCAACTTATCAGGCACATAGCTCATAATAAGAGTCAGGTTAACAAGAAAATGAGAGTTAGCAAGTTGTGAAAATGCGATTTTAATGTGAAACATATCATCGTGCACGATATCGACGACGATTTTCGTCTCGTCTCGTCTCGTAAACTGGCTGCGACCGCAGCTATGTGGACTATGCCAGTCCAGTAATCCGCCGATTAACTAATTATGTTGAACAGAGTTAAAGATATGAGTACAACATTTATGTGCGTTTTATGTGCGTGTCGTCGACGGCAGCTCGTGAAGTGTAGTGGGTCGTTGAATGTGAGATTTTGCCCGGGATTCCGGGTTTTCACTTTTAATATCTTGATCTCGTCGCATAAATAATGTTCGCGAGCTGCGTTCCAGCTGGATGCGGATGTTTTTTCGGCTGAAAAGCTGGCTAAACGGATCAGAGGCAACTTGTTGTTGCATCAGCTTTTAATTGGCCCGATTAGCAAAACGTGTTTTAATCTGCAAAAAACAAATTCGCACAATTCGCACATAACCGCTAACATTTATGCCTTTATTACAGCAAATCAAGTGTTTTTACCCGCAATTTTCATATTTCTTGATGTTCAAAAAGCAACCAAAAAAAGATAAAGAAAAATTAAGTCCATTGTTATACCCTGCAGTCGTAGAAAATGGTTAAAAAGGGTATATGAACAGGATATAATGCAAGCTAGACACAAATTTAGGCTACAAACCCCCCCCCCCCCCCCCACCACCACTCCCCACCCATTTCCCATATATAGTGTAAGAAGAAGCACAGCTGCTGATAAGGAAAGCAAGAATGCTTGTAACGGCAGCCTGTAGCTGAGCGTAGGGTATCTCTCAGTCGGACTGCCGAATGCTTGTTTTATTTTCATTATTGTTTGACATAACTTAGCTGAAACGTCTAAAAGTGAAAAGATGATTTATTTGCCATGTTGCTTGACTGGCTTTTATGATTTGAAATCGAATGTGCGGCGCTCCAGTAATTAATCTGTGTGTGTTGTTAATGTGACAGCGTTGAACCAGATTTTGTGGCTGTGGCTGACGTCACAGTGAAACGTGTTTCAATTGCAGGATGAGGTGAATAAATCGGGCTGCCTGCTCGTTATAGTAAAGCATTTTTCATTGTGGTCAGCAAAATCCCCAGCGTAGGCACAGTTAAATTAACTGTGGCATCATATTTTTAATTTTTTTTGGGGGGAAAGCATGTTGTAAGCTGTCAAGTTCAGGCGTTGTTCGATTTCCGTTTCCGGCTAGAGAGTATTATTGCTGGACTTTCAAAATTGCCAACTGGCGTGCTGCGCAGCTGCGCGACAGTCTACAAATAGTTGGCAAAATTGTATATTAATAATATGCACAAATATTGCAGGTTAGCTTTTTGGCCGTTAACATTTGTACATTTTTGGGCATACTCGAAATGAGACTGTCAAGTCGATAAGTGATAAATTGTTGAAATAATGAGAGACTGGTCACCTTACTGTTATCGATCGCAATGAATGCATAACAGTTTCATTTGAGAACAACAGCGGCTTAACATTAACATAGCACTAACATCATTTGTTGTTGTTTCGCCGCTAGCTTCGGACGTGTATTCTGCATTTATGCACTAAATTTCAAAATAAATTCGTTTGTTCACAACAAGTGCCACCGAATGTGACCGTTATTTGTGTTTGTTATTCAACAAGAGCAACCATAGATCTCCAGCACCGGGGATTATCAGTTTTGTGGGCAACAAACGGCGAACAATGCCCGGTCCGCCTGCGTACAAACTTGTTACCAATTTCGAATAACACAGCAAATCGTTATTGTTTTTATTTTTTTTTGGTTTTGTTATTTAAGCCAGTGAATGTGCATAGTAAATTAGCTAAACGTGTAGCCAATGTGATTAACCTGCGGCATAGCAAAATGCAATTAAATTATAAATATATTTAGTGGCGCACTCTGGAAATCCTTCAAACTAAATTCACAGCTGCCTATTAACAAAAACAACAGCGCTGCGGGTAAGCGTAACTTGACCAGTTAATAATATGTAATAGCTACTGTTATGGCGCTGCATGTGTGTGTGTATCCGTGTGCGTCTGTTAATGTGTGTGACTGTTTGCGCGTGTGTGTGTGTGTGTGCATATGTGGCTTCAAAATATAATTTGAAACATTGCGCATGCATTCAGCGCCAGCTGTTGTTCTTGTTGGTGTTATTCTTGCTGCCATGATAAAGAAAAAGACAAAGAGTCTAACTCCACAAATTCCACTGCTTCCCCTACACTAAACACACAAAACAGACACATAGATACACGCAATACATAACTGCCATAGGTCAAAGAAAACATTTAATTATTGCCCAAAAAGGGGGCAGATTTTAAATAAAATAAATAATAATTATGTTAAAAAAAAAAAAAAAAAAAATGATAAAGAACAAACGGCTGTTTGCCTGCAGTGTTACAACAACAATTCATCTGCCGCTGCCCAACTCCCTCTCTCGCTTGCACACACATCAGATCAGCATCAATCCGCAGCATCACACACACACACACACTCGTACAGCAATTGTCACACACATACACACGCAGACGAAGGCGACTTTTATCGTGCTCAACCAAAATGAATTCACATTCATCTTCGCATTTGTATTTATTTTGTTGTTTTATTCTTTCCCAATTTTCGCTTATTTACGTTGGTTTCTTTGTTGCTGCTGCAGCTCCTGCAATTAGTTTCGTAGCCTGCAGCTTGTGTCGCCGACTCATTGTCATCTTTGCACGGTGGTTGCTGCTGCTGCCGCTGTTGTTTGTTGTTGTTATTGCTGACCTCCCCTCCAGCAGTCAGGCCTGGCTTTGGCCAAACAAATAAACGAAGCAGAGCAGCGGCAGCGGCAGCGGCAGCTGATGATTCATCCGCTGCTTTTTCTTTAGACGGAAACAGCTTTTTTTGTCTTTGCCAAATGCATTGGAACCTCGAAGCTCGACTCATTCATGTGTTGTTGTGTTAAAAACAAACAAAAACAATTAAGAGTGCTCTACTCGGGCATGCCCGGCTAGCCGATACCCTAAACTGGGTGCCAAGCTGCCGTTACGAAGACTCTAGCTGCCTTTTGGATTCGCTGCTGTCTTTAGATCGATATTTTTCGAAAGTAATATCGTTAAGGTATCGATAAAAATAAAATATAACCTCGTTTTGCGTATGGTAAAGGAGAATACATATATATCAAGTTTTAAGTTACATACATTTGCTGAAAAACAATATACCCCTTTTGGCCATTCCCAATAGGTTGAGGGTATTAAAAACGAAATTGAACAACAGAAAAACCCGCTACTCATATGCGACGTCTGTTCCGGTCTATCGCACATGTGCATAAATTTATAATAATAATTATAATAATAATAATAATCATAATTATAATTATATATTGCTAAGTATGTTAGAATCACGCTAATCGTTAAGTTAAACCTGGGCGTGATTCGGCTTGGCTTTGCTTTTCGATTAGTCAGCCAAAAGTTTTCGCTTTGCTTGAATCAAAATACGTTTTATTTTTGTATCTGCTACCATGACACAAAATATCTGAGATTTAAACAAATAAAAATAAAAAAATAAAACCAAAAGAATATCCAAAAATCAACAAAAATGCTGATGTCAAGACCCCAAAAGCTTGACTTTCCCCTGCCATAGCCCTACTTGGCGGGGTATATACGCTAAAGCATTTTGTTTGATCGATTGCGCAACCCTTCCAATTCCTTCCCAATTGTCTTGATATTCATATCAGATAAGACTTAAAATAAACATAAGACATGAAAGCTAATGCTTTTAAAACAAGGGTGACACCAAAAATAACAAATGCATTCAGTTGATCCATAGAATTCTTTAATACCCTTACTTTCAATGCAGCTATATGATATACTATATTAGATATATGTTATGCTATGCAATATGCAAATGATCTTAACCAAAATCTCTGTATAAACTTATAGTAAGCTGATCTATGCCAAAATCTGAATTGAAATTGGCAATATACTTTTTTTTATACTTCATACTTTTTCATACAACATCTTAACTTTCAATCGTTTGTTTCTATAAGATATAGTATGCTGATCCAACAGGTCTCGACTTATATGGAGTCTGACATACAAAGTATCAAGTGTTCAAAGTTTCATCAGCCTAGCTTAAGTGAGAACCTAGTTCGCATAGTTGGCATAATTATGGCTAGATCTGTATCTTTATAGGGTTGAAAATTGTTCATTATTCAGTTTGCAGCTCAATCTATTTTAAATATCAATAGTTGCCCGTTCTACTGAAAATATTGAGAGCCGTTAATATTTTCATATGAAAATCTCTCCCAAAATCGACATCGTCCAAAGATGGTTGGATAAATCGTATAATTTGGGTAAAAATTTAGTTATGCTTTGGGGCTGAGTCTACCTCAAAATTTTCTTTACTTTATGTAAATCGGTTCTCGTTGTTTCTTAGTTAAAATTAACTGGAATTTCGAAACGGAACCGGTTCGGTTGAAAACCGGTTCGCCATCTTATTAAAAAGTATATAGTTATTGAAACACATCTTATATAGAATTTATTTTATACGAAATATATATTCACAGTTGACATAAGTTGGGATTCCGGAACGGAACCAGTTCGGTTCAAAACTACATGAATAATATTATGATTATTAAAACATATTTTATGTGGGATATATTTTATACGAAATATATATTCACAGTTGACATAAGTTGGGATTCCGGAACGGAACCAGTTCGGTTCAAAACTGGTTTGCCGCCTTATTGAAAAGTATTTGATTATTGAAATATATTTATAGATGCCTTATGAATTACTCACTGAGCGACCCTCCTATGGGTAAGTGGCACCCCAAAAGTTTTGCCCCAAGCATATGCATATGCCTCCAAATCCGACCCTCATCCGAGGGAATGTTCTCATGCATCGCATATACACACATTCACACACATACAAACATACACATAAATATATACACATGTGTTTCTCATGCATAAATGAGCCAGCTTATCTCTAATATCAGTGGCCCAGCATTTTACAGGCCGCGGGTTGGGAGGAACTCATGGGGGAAGAAGTCACCCCCCCCCCCCCCCCCCCCACCCAAAGACACACAGACACACAGACACACATGCATGAAGCATATATTGTGCATATTCAGATTTTTAATTTTGTGTCATACCCTAACGGATTTACCAAAAAAAAAAAAATGAAAGAATATTTGTGCTTGAGTTGCCGAAGAGTTAATACCCTTGAAAATCTATAAAAGAAGCAACAGTATGTCAGAAAAGGGCTCAATTTAATATGATATATATGATATATATTAGACGGATCTTAATGGGATTAAGGGTGCAAACTTTAATTGGTCATTGTTGGCTTGTCTTGAGGAAACTGGAAAAAAAAAGTTTTCAAGAAAAAAACTAAGCTTTTCATATATTAGTTTCTAGTTATATAATATAGTAACTGGCTCCTGTACATTTTTAAATAACGAGCAATCAAGATGTAGGCTAGCGAGCGGAAAACTGTATATACATATATATAATTTCATATATGTACAATTTTGATCCGCTTGTTATCCTAGTTGTATGTATGTACTATATATACTCTACATAATCGCAATTGTCTGCTGGAATGCGTAATGCATTTTGTGACAAAAGTAGAATACCCAATGCAAGAGGGGGACAGCCAGGAAAGGCAACAACAACAACAACAACAACCACACAGAGCACTAGAAGAGGAAGAAGAAGAGCACAAATAAGCACACACACACACACACACACACATACAGAGACACACGCTTGCGCACACACATGTTGATCATGCATGAAAGCGGGCCGCGCATTTTACCCCAAGAACTCAAACAGAGAACCCAAAAAAAAACAAAAAAAACAACACTGATGGAAACTGAACCACAATTTAGCAAGAGACGCGGGTAAGCGGGGGTGGGGACAGCAGTACCGTTGAGTGCTGCTGGCTGCGCTGCTGGCGGCGACGGTTGGCGGGGGAGAGTCGCCGGAAATCGCGTTAAATGCGTAACAAGGCGCTTTTTAATTCAACCGATCCAAATACAAATAAAAAGGGAGCATTAAATAAATGAAATTGTGTTGTGTATGCAAAACAGTTGAAACGCTGTCCGACCGACCTGCCACTTCTTGTTATCTCTTCAGCTGCACACAAAAAAAAACACAACAAGAAAACAAGTAAGAGTGCCTCGGTTGACCAGAGTGCACGACTAGGGCATACCCTAGGCGCAGCGCCAAGCTGCCGTTACGTCTTATTGCTTGCTGTCACACACATGTGCATGCACAAAGAGAAAACACACATACTCACACACGAACGAACAACAGTTTATTCTAGGCAGCTGCTGTGCTTCTTCTTGCCACAGCACAAAGCTTTGGATAATGAATTCTTGAGTAAGTCCGGTGTTTGTTGTCCGATTTTTGTGCAATTTTAAGGGGCTTACCAGGCATACCAGGGCGTAAGGATCTACCTTAAAGTATGAGTATTTTTCAGTTATCAGGGAAACGGGGGGAGTTGCCGAAAAAGTAAAATATTCTTAATCTGTATACAGTGTACCCAAAACTACATTCCAAATTAGGTGTATTTAGTTGTTATAATTCAAAAACGATATTTGTTGATATTATTATGATATTTATCGATATCATTATGCTATATATCGTTATTATTATTATATTTATCGATATTGTTATGTTATTATAATATATATAGATATTTGTTTGATATATATCGATATTATTATTATTATATTTATCAATAGTTTTTTTCGAGATCCGTTTCCTTTCGTCCGTTACATACATATGCTTAAATACAATATACCCCCTTTGCCCATTTGCAATGGGTATAAAACCCACAGCAGCAACAACAATGAAAACTGTCACATTACGAAAAACAAACAGAGCTTAATTGAAAATTTCATTTTCATAGCGATGATAAATTCTCTTTCATTTTATTTATTTATATTTTCATTTACTTTTTTTTATTTTTTTATTATTTTTTTGGTTCATTTGTTGCGCTGCAACATTTCGATGTTGAGCGGCGCGTCGCAAAGTTCGGTTCATGTTCGTGCAACATGTGTTAGAAAACGGTTTTGAATTCAAACAAACAAAAAAAAACAAACTGAGTTTTGATTTTATTATTATTATTGAATGCACTCACACTGACTCTGCGCATTGGCATTGGATCGTTAAGCTTTAAAAAAAAACCAGTGTTGTGTAAAATAGAGTTGTTCCGATTTGTGCGTTCTTGAAACTTTAGGTAAAACATTTTGTGTTGTAAAATAAACAGTTCAGACTGTAATGTATTATATGCCAAATAATGCTGACTAATGCCCAATTCTGAGGTTTGATTCAGTGTGCATTAGGCCTGTGTTGCATAAGTAATTAATTTATAATTAAATAATCAGTGTAGTAGCGAGTGTTGTTTTTTCCAATCTTTCAATCTTAGAAATTGAGTTTCTATAACTTTTTTTGCTCTTTTGCAATATAGTCTCTGTATATAAAGTGATTGGTCATGAACATCCTTTAATTACTTGTTTATATCTGTGCGGCAAACAGTGTTGAATAAGGGTTTTAATTTGTAATAGAATTTACTTAGATTCTGGTTCTAACTACGATCTTTCTTTTTAAATTGTAACTAGGTTCAAATTTCCTTAGCCAGTGTTGGAGAGGTTCTGCCACAAGTTTGATTTACAATTAGTTAATTGTTTGAGCCAAAACAAATCTTTAATCAATATTTAATTGCATTAGAGAGTCTTTGGTTTAAGTTCTTTTAGGCTTTAATTTGTTCTTTGCTGTCAATAAATTCTATCTAGAATATCGCTTCCGTCTGCCAGAAACGCGCTCCATAAGGCACTTACCTTGGTATCTGTTCTTTTCGAGTGCTTCCTTTGACCTTTTCTCTGCTTATCGTATTTTTATATATGTATATTTTTGTCCACTTGCTTTGTTTTAACGAATAATTGAATTGGTCATAAAAATGTAAGCGGGGAACCGCATTTAAATCGGCGTAGCTGCTGCTGATAGCGCTTGGAAATTGGATGATTTCACAAAAAATTTTTACTTACAACGAACTGTCAATGATAACATTTTAACGAAACGGCAAATCGGAGAAGAGAGTGCATGAAAAAAGCATTTAGCTTGAAGCATGTTGAAGATTAAATACTCTGTCCGCATTTTTTATGGTTGTTTCCTGAACATATAATTTAATCTTGACATTAGGACTTTATTTTCAATAAAATCTCTCTATATATATACTGTGTTCTAACTGACAAAATGAATTCCACCCGCAAGAGTGGAAAACTCGAGTTAAACGTTTGTTTGATACTTTTCCACTTACAATCCGATCGGCCTCAAACTCATTTTCAAAGAGCTTTATTCGAATTCAGTTGAGGGGGCTTCACACCTTTTAGAATAACCATTGCTTCGCGTTCAAATTCATTCTCAAAGATCATTATGAAAATACGCTTGAGACGTGTTTCACACTTTTCGCAAAATCCACCTCTCTTGGATAATAAATTCCGCTCAAAGATTGAATGGGCGAAGCTTCGGCTGTAAGCTCATTCGCAACGATCTCAGAGGTAATTCAATTGAGACGTTCTTCACACTTTTCTCAAGATAAACATATTTAACGTGCCCAAGTCCTTTTTCTAAATTCTAAACATATAGTTAATATTATTGATTAATGTATATATCTGTTAATGTATACAAATATAGTAGTCTGCCCTGTATACCATGGTTTTAAAGGCTGAAAAGTGATATTTTTCAGTCCATGCATGTGTGTTAGTTAAATGCAAATGTATTAGTGCGCTTTGCCTGCAAAACTCTCGCCTGCCAAAGCTGCGCTGAAAGTTCACACAGACGGCATTCATACGTGTGCGCTGTACGTGGGCCAAATAAAATATGCAAAGCAATAAATGAATATACAAAATATATATAGACGAAATGTTGAGTGAAATGTATATTGTAATTTTAATGATAAAATAAATAGATAAAAGCATTGTTTGCCGTTTCTTGGAAATGCTCATGTGCATATTTTTATAGATACATACATATATAAAATTGGCGCATTTTATTGTTCATTTGGAATTGGCTAATAATATTTTGAATATGTGTATGTGTTCCGCTTTACAGCATGGATGCCCCCACGCAGTCTATATACCCGCATTCCGTAGCTTCTTCCGCTGCCATCTGTGCCTGCGTATTTGTGACCATCGGCGTATTCGGTAAGTAACTGCAGCAGCTTTCAATCCCACTCAAACGAAAAAACACACACTTTGTCCCGACTGATTGACTGACTGACCGACTGACTGACCGTCTGACTGATTGACGATCCACGCATAGCACAAACCATAAAAGCTGTCAAGCTGATTTTTTTCACAGTAGTTCGCCTTTTGTGGATATAGTTTCACGCTAAGGCGTGGTTTTGAAAAATGTGAAAAATTGATGTAAAAGGAACAATTGCCAGAAGTCTGATAAAAACTCTTAAAAATCATTCAAATTTCAAATGATGTTTCGCCGATTTCGAATAATCCGCATTGAAGTCGAATGACTGAAAAACTGTAGCTTATAGATTTTTAGCTTTTCATTCCACGGGCTGCCAGCTTATTTGCAAAGCTTTACATAAAAGTAAAAAATTAAGAACGTATATCGACGATTTTGCCAAATCCACCTCTAACGTCGGAAGATGGGCGGAAAACAGTCGAAAATCTTTTTCAGCATAGCAAAAAAAACTTAGGCACATGTAACTCAGCGCTTTTGGAAAATCCACCTCCACGCGTGGAAAAACGGCTATCAATTAATTTGTATGGCTTTATTTGGACAGCAGTAAAACATATTCCACGGGGGTTAAACGGATTTGAAATTGAACAACAACAAATATACGCAGTCCTGGCAATGCCGGGTAATATTTGCTAGTTCCTTTATATTTTAACCCTCATGTAACCTCATACACTTTTGCAATTGCAGGCAACCTGATAACGCTGCTGGCGCTGCTCAAGAGTCCAACGATACGCGAACATGCGACGACCGCCTTTGTCATATCTCTGAGCATATCGGATCTACTTTTCTGCTCCTTCAGCCTGCCGCTGACAGCCGTGCGTTTCTTTCAGGAGGTGCGTCGAATCGAATCGAACAAATCATATCTACTCGAAACTAATTTTGTTTTCCATCAACTCTACAGAGCTGGACATTCGGCAGCACGCTATGCAAGATCTTTCCCGTCATCTTCTATGGCAATGTGGCCGTCTCCTTGCTCAGCATGGTGGGCATTACGCTCAATAGGTAGGGTATTTCGAGACGTACCCGAGATCGACTGAGAGATCTCGGCAACCAGAAAAGCTACAGACCTAAAATTTGAAATAGAAATACTACAACACCTTACATAGAACACATATGTAATTTTGCTCCCATATCCCCTTTCATTTTTATAATATCTATAAATATGGAAACAGCCTGATACTCCAAGCATGGTATATAGATATATATTTGACTTATGAACGCAAGGATCTCAGAACCTATAAGAGCTAGAGACTTGAAATTTTAGCTGTAGGTCCTCCTAGTGCCCGCACAGATCGAGTTTGTTTCCGATATTCGATAAATTGCCTCGTTTCCAAGTAATCGATAAAAGTTGAATATTGAAATCCTGTTTTTTGAGCAATTTCGGTAAATAATAAGAGCTAAAATCACCAAACTTGACATGTAGCTTCTAGAATAGTATATATATATATCAAGTATACCTATCGCCTGTCGGAAGAAGAGGGTTCAGGGTATCCCCTAGTCGGGAGCTCCCGACTAGAACGCCTTACTTGTTTTTTTTTTTGGTTTTTAAGACTAAATTTCTTTTGTGTGAATCCAGGTACATACTCATCGCTTGCCACAGCAGATACTCACAGATCTATAAGCCCAAGTTGATCACGCTGCAGCTGGTGTTCGTTTGGGCCGTATCCTTTCTACTGCTGGTGAGCCAAGCGAATTGATTCATATTTGATTTGATTAATCCATGTTGAATCGTTTTTGCAATTTAGCTGCCACCCATACTGGGCATATGGGGCGAGATGGGCCTGGACGAGGCCACCTTCTCGTGCACAATACTCAAAAAGGAGGGTAAATCGATAAAGAAGACTTTGTTCCTGATCGGCTTTCTGCTGCCCTGTCTGGTCATTATAATATCATATTCCTGCATCTATATAACCGTGCTCCATCAGAAGAAGAAGATACGCAGTCACGATAACTTTCAAATTGGCGCCACAGCCGGCGCCAAAGCAGGATCAGCGTCCGGCTCGTATGTGACCACGACGAGCACGCGCAAGGCGCGCGAGGACAATCGCCTCACTGTGATGATGGTCACCATATTCTTGTGCTTCCTCATCTGTTTCCTGCCGCTGATGCTGGCCAATGTGGTGGACGATGAGCGCAATACCTCCTATCCCTGGCTGCACATCATCGCCTCCGTGATGGCCTGGGCCTCCAGCGTTATCAATCCGATTATCTATGCGGCCAGCAATCGCAACTACAGGTGCTCTACTCATTAGCATCTAATAATATATTCCCAATTAATCGCATGTTAAATATCTCTTAAACGCAGGGTGGCCTACTACAAGATATTCGCATTGCTCAAGTTTTGGGGTGAGCCGCTGTCACCGATGCCAAGTAGAAACTATCACCAAAGCAAGAACTCAAAGGAATTATCGGGCGTTATTCGCAGCACGCCATTGTTTCATGCTGTTCAGAAGAATAGTATTAACCAAATGTGCCAAACATATTCAGTATGAGTCTTTTGTATTCGAATTTGCAATACGACATTAACTACTTATTAAAATATATATCCTTTTTTTTTTTTCTTATTTATGTATATTTAATTATACACGAGGGCGCATACGAAAAACAAATCAAACAGAATAAGAAAAAAAAATATATATATATATATATGTATATATGTATATATACTATTGACGATATATTGTAATTGCGTTTTGATTAACTGCCGCCCGCTGTATGCGTGAGCACAGCATTCCCGGCACCAGTGTTGCCAGACTTTGAAGAGAAGTCGCTACAAATAGCCAAAATATAAACTGTACCATTTACATTAAATTTAACAATAAACTTAAAATCAAGGAAACAATTAATTTCGGCTTTAACTAAAGTACAAATAAAATATAAACATAAGTCATTGATCTTAAATTAATGTGCCGCTCACAGGGCTTAAACTAAGCTCAACTTGAAAGTCACATTTCTAGTCATTAGATATACGCTTAACATAGCTATAGCAGAGCTCAAATGACACAATTTCACCACAATATCAATTGGTAGAGTAAGCCTGTGCGTGTGGTGAGTAGCTGCATATTAACGGTACACCTCACGACACTAGCGCTGGCACTTAAGGCAGAAAATAATCGATAGGCAATAAGTTATGCACGAAATAATGCAGGCGTTCAGTAGTCAACCATTCGTTGGCTCTATCAAATAGCTACTAACGATTTTAAAAGTGGTTTATGTTTTGTTATAAGTCTTTTTGATAGACAACCGAGATGTTAACTAGCTGAACGCGCACACTGTAAGCATTAATCTTTATCGATATTTAGAGAACAGAAAACAAATATTCAAATCAAATTCAGCTGTTCCGTGTATGTCCTGATGTCCGTCCAAGTTGATTGCGCAACGCCCATATGAAGTTTGTGTGTGTGTGTGTGTGTGTGTGCTTGTGTGATAGTATGCTAACGTGTAAATGTGTGTGTGTGTGTGTGTGTGTGTGGTGAGTGCGTTTGTCTACATGTGTGTGCGATTAAATGGTATGAGAGAGAAGAGCTTGTTGTACAGGCAAGCGCTTAGCACTGCCTGCCATTGGCTTGATCAAACAATTCGGAATTAAAAGTCTTATCGTTAGCGAATGGGAACGGCTGAATGGCATCCTCATTGATTATCTCGAGTATTTTCTTGACCACGTCCGGATTCTCATCTCGGTTCTCCTCGCAAATGACCTTCACGTCGCGCAGCTTCGATACATACATATCGCGATCCTGTTCGGCCCGTTCCAGTTCATGGAGCACGCCGTGCATATCGAACTGATCGTCGGCCAATTCGATAACCTCCTTCTCCTTTCGATAGGTCAAGTGTGCATCACTGACGAATGTGCGAGTGCGCACCTGATGTGCACTATATACGGAGCGTGCGCTGTTCGACGGACCTTTGGAGCTGTTGCCGGAGCTCGAGCCGAAGCCCATGGTGACGCCATCGCGCACGGCCAAGGCATTGTAGGCCTTGCCATTGTTATTGGCATTGAAGAATTTTCGGAACCATTGCAAGAACTCAAAATTATCCTGAAAGCGGCCCTTGATCAGCCGCTCAATGGGTATCTCCTTGTGTACGGCCTTCTTCTGAAAGCTCGCCTGCAACAGCTTAAAATTGTGCACAAATTCGTGCTCCTGATTGGCGCGAAACTTGATGCGTTTGATGGCCACCGAATTGGGGAACAGCATGTCCATAAATTGGCAATAGGCAGCGCCTACAGCAAAAGTGTGACCAAAAAGATGAAAAGCAAGTGAGAAAAAAGAAGGTTGCAAGCGCAATGCAATGTAAAAAACCGATTGCATCAGTCGATAAGTGTTATCGATTAATGGACTTGGCGGCCACAACGGAAGACCGTTAGAAAAGGAGGAAGGAATTGAACAACTTAACCGCACTTTCTTGGGCGAAGTGAAACGGACATTGCTTGCAAACCAATATACTCTACCCTCTTCACACGGGGAACAGCGTATTAGACGGTGAACCGCACTTACCTGTGCAGAGCTCCTCGATCTTTGTGAATTCAGCTTTCATTTGTGTATTGACCCAGGACAACATCTCGTGGCGCGACCAATTTTGCGATGAGACATTTGTCGAGTGCACGTTGACGGCCATTTTGCCTCGATCCATTGCGTTCGCTTATTGTTTATCGATTCTACGCCCAATATATATATACATACATATATACATATACATATGCATATATATATATATATGTACTATACTATTTATTTTCCCAAATTCACTGAGTCCCTAAATCAACTACGGCCTGCTAAGTTAATATTGTATATACATATATGTATTTGCCTATACTAAAAAGCCAACTCTGCATCGAAACGAAAATCGTCAACAAAGTTTCAAGCAATTGCGGGACAGTGTGCGCTACTCCCTTTGGAAGTGTTAACCCTTCGATGGGCAGTGTGACTAATTGTCAGTATTGTAAATTGTGCAAAAGAAATTCCTGTTTTTAAGCAGTCGAAATTGTCCAAAGTTACGTCCTTCGTTGAAATCAGCCAAAGAAGTTTCAAAAATATTTTATATTTGAATTGCTTAATAAAAAATAATCCAGACTGTGCAATAACAGAATAAAGCTAAGGCTCGTGTGTTCCAAGGCTTACAGTCAATTTTCTCTCTTAAACGCCGTTTTCCAGCCAAGCTCAAAGTCATTGCTCTTAAATGAAGGCCTATGGCAGAAGTCTGTCCGTGACAGCTTCATTCGAAAGATTTTGTCAGATGCTTAAAAATCGTTTAACTCTTTGATAAACGTTTAACGACTTTTTGGAAAGCTGTAGACATACCCTTGAAAAGCATTTAACAGCTCACAAGACACTGCAAAATACACAAGCTGGATCAGTCCATTAACAGCTATTGCAGTTAAGACCCAAAAGCTGCAAGCTTTATTTTCAAACATTGCAAGCTTTGGCCTCTCTTTAGCGCCGTTTTCCAGCCAAGTTGACGCTTTGCCTGGCAGCTCCTTGGAAAGCGTTTGACAGCTTTGAGCACTGAAAAAAAACGCACATACACGCGGGCATTTTTTTTTTTTGGTTTAACACAAGTACACATGGATGGTCACATTTAAAAAAAATGATTTTATTCTTATTCCTTTTGCTTTGTTTTTTTTTCAGGAGAATATTCTTAGCGCACACTAGTTATTAACAACAATTGTTGCTGCATTTAAATCTATGCCTTGACGGCATATTTGCGTTGCGGGAAGATGGAACGCTTGCGGATTTCCTTGAGGGTCTTGCGGTTGGAGTCGCGCGACGACAGGGCCTTACGCATGGCGCGGGTCTTCTTTTTGCGCAGATCCAAAGGCTTGTACTTCTTGTTCTTGAACACCTTGCGCAGATTCTCCTTCTGCTTCTGGTGCATCACAATGTAGACGCGAGCGATGGCCTTGCGCACAACGCGGCTGCAATTAAACAAAAACAAATTAGTCAAGAATATAATATGGGTAGAGGGGGGGTTGGCGGGTGACTTACATCTTGGACAGCTTGGAGGGTGCTCCGCCGGTGACTTTGGCCACTCGCAGATTGAGCAGCTCATTCTTGAGCTCATCCAATTGCTTGGTGAGCTCCTTCTTGTCCTTGGTTCTCAGCTCTGAGCACTTGATCTTCACCTGTGAGAATAGAGCCAAATGGAATTTTGCAACAATTTAGTTAACAATTCGTTTTAAACGCGCACACACAAAAAATAATATGCCACACTATAAATATGCACAGTTCGGTTCGTGTTTCATACATTTCTTTATTATTTTATGCACGGATGTGTTTTATTTTTAAAAATTTAAAATTCACAGAAACTCGGTACCAACCATTTTTCTCGCTGGTCACGTCAAAAAAGAAAGAACTAGGGTCGTACAAACGATTGAGGGCTGTAGCACGAAAACAAACAGACGATTTTGACACATGACAGTTGTGCCACTTTTCAACACTAACTGCTGCTCAGCACTGCTGTTTGTGGAGCAATGCTGTTAAGTGACAGTATGGCAACGCCAATATATCCAGCCCACAGCCCCCGCACAACCAAAGCAATTCCACAATTTGTTTAAGCTCAATCGTAAATGAAATAATTGTAAAAACAAAACTTAACAGATAAACAAACAAATTGAAATCATGGCTGACAGAGCTATAAAGCTGCTTATTATCGGTGAGAGCGGCGTTGGAAAATCCAGGCAAGCAATCAGCACAATACTAATTCCAATTAAGTTTTTCAATTGCGTATTTCCAATGCGCACACATACACACATGTAAACAATACCTAAATAGAGATTGGCTTAATAGCACTTAGTCATTGATGCGTGTTGAGTATTTCGCATTCGACTCCAAAGTTTGTCTCATTGTTTTATCTTTTTTTATTATTTTATTTTTATCCTATTGCAGCCTGATACGTCGTTTCGTTGAGAACAAGTTCGATGACAATCATGACGTCACAATTGGCATGGACTTCAAGAGCGCCATCATGAATGTGGATGGCATTGACTACAAGGTGGCACTGTGGGACACAGCGGGCGCCGAACGATTTCGCAGTCTGACGCCCAGCTTCTATCGCAAGGCGCTAGGCGCCATACTTGTCTATGACATCACAAATCGCGAATCGCTGGTCAAACTGGAGGCTTGGCTGGCCGAGCTGGACAGCTACAGTGACAATCCGAACATAGCGATTATTGTGGTTGGCAACAAAATCGATCAGGAGCGTGTCGTCGATCGTGAGGAGGGTCGCAAATTTGCCCGCAAGCATCGGGCGCTCTTCATCGAGACCTCGGCCAAATGTGATCAGTACGTTAGTGATGTGTTCAAGGATATTGTAGAGAAGGTGCGCTCTTTTCTGTACCATTTTGTAACTTCAAATGTTTGCTTATTTTTTCAACATGTTTTTTCTGCAGATTGTTTCCTCCGAATATTTTGGCAACGGCAATACCGCGAATGGCATGACCATAGACAATGTCCAGGATGTGGATTCAGCCCCATCAACGTGTTATTGTTGATGCGTGTCCTGTGCTCATTCTCGGTTTTTTTTTATCGCTATTCGATAACCAATTTTGATAAATTTCTAGCGTGTATTTATTTAAACGTTTCAACTTCATTAGCATAAATGCTTTCTCACATATCCCTAAAAAAAAAAAAAAAAAATAAAAATAACAGAAATCAAAGCGGTTCGGTAAGCAATACCACAAAATGTTAAATGTACCTCAACTGTAAATATAACTATCCCATAAATTAATGCAATTGGCTAACAATAATTTGGCCCACTGTTTTTATGTTTTCGGCAAACAGAAGAGCGCCCCGTTATTCTCAACTCACCACGCTGCGCAGAAAGAGAGCTCAACTGTCCCTCTCTCTTCGCATCCCGTCATAGCAAAAACATAGGTTTAAGGTTTACTTTTGTTTTTTCTTTTATTATTAAATCTTAAATGAAGACATTGCTTCAAGTCAAAAGCTCTTTGCGCTAAAATTCATTAAAAAAAAAGAATAAAAAATAAAAGATACATTGTACACTAATTACCGCAAAAGTAGACAAAAAGAAAAACGATGTTTAGATAGAAAAATGTACATGGAGCACGATTGTTATTCATTTGCTTTTCATTCATTTTGATTGCTGTTTGTTTGTGTGTGTGTGAGAGTGTATTTACATATCGATGAATCTGTTTTTTTTTTTCTTTTGTTGCAATTATCTCTAAAAACACAAGGTGACAAAATTGGTGACGGCGTTTCATAAGCGAAACTATTCCAGCCGCACACCCTATGTATGTACACTTTCTATAATCATAGTGTTTGGTTTATCGTATTATTATTACTTTTTTGTTTCGTTTTTGTATAGTGTCTAGGCATTACAAATGTAACTTAAAGTATAGCAACCTCTCTGCAGGTCGGTCGCTGTTATACACCACGCTGCCATCTACTTGCCGGCGATGCCACTCTTTTTGGCATCCAATTCGTAGATGAGCAGTCGCCACATTTTCACCACAAACACCTCAGCCTCCTCGTCCAGCACCTGTGGAAGGTCAGAAAGACAGAGAGAGAGAGAGAGAGAGAGAGAAAGAGAGGGTACTGTTTATATATTTGCGGCAATGGTGAATTGGGTGTGGTGGATCTTACCATTTGGACATCGTCCAGTATGCTTTGGGGCGGACTGCCGGCCAATACTTTGGAACATATAAAGTCCACTAACGTTGGCTCCGGCTCACCGATATATTCGATGATTTTCTTATTGATCCATGGACGTATTTTGCGTTCCATTAGACCGCTGTCAATCTCGTTGCGGTCAAGCTTATAATTAAATAGCTCCTCCTTTTGTGTGGGTATCCTGTCAATAATGCTTTTTATATGGCGGCGTTTTTCATCATGCACCTTCGCACCATTCTCATCCTTTTTGGTGTTTGTCGCGGCAGCATCTGCGCTGCCCGCAGATGCGGCTGCATCATTCTTACCATGGTGTTTGCCGCCACCGCCGCTGCTGTTGCCATGCTTTCCATGCTGGCCGCTATTCTTGCCGCCATTTCCGCTGCCCATCGAGCCGGATGATGTTGAGCCAGAGCCGCCGCCGCCGCCACCGGCATTGGCTATCTTTTGGCTAACGGCAGCGGCAGCAGCTGTCGCCGCTGATACAGCAGAACTTTGACGCTCCGCGGCCGTCTGAGATGCACTCATCGGCGTGGTGCTATTGCTTATATTGTCATCGTAATCTGGAATATATACAACAAATATTATTTGCTGAAGTGCTGCAGCTTTCTCTTAAGTGCCATAACCAAAGCAAAGAGAGCTAGACAGAAATTTTTGTATGCATTTGCCTGCGGCTATGGTGAAATGCAAAGAGAGCGCTCCCTTACGTTTGTGGGCTGGGCAGGAATTTATATGTATTTACTTGCGGCTATGGTGAAATACAAATATATATTTTCACCACAGCTTAGGCTACTTATGCTGCGTGGAAATTAGAGAGAGAGCGCTCTCTTACGTTTGTGGGCTAGACTGGAATTTATATAAGCTTTGGCATTTGCCTGAGGCCGTGGTGAAATAATACAATTTATATTCCCACTATGACTTAGCCAAAAAGAGCTCCACAGGAATATATGTACATGCTTTTGGCTTTTGCCTGAGGCTATTGTTAATACAACCAAAAATTTAACCACGGCTTGGATCTCTTTGTGCTGCGTGGAAAGCAGGGAGAGAGCGCTCTTGGAACTTGGCTTTTGCCCTAGCCTAACCTTGGTTTTTAGGCCCGGATATGCTCAGACTCACCTAACGGCACAAGTTTGCGCTTCTTGGGATTGATGTTCTCGTCGTTGTCGTCGTCGTTGACAAAAACGCCGGTGGCCTCGATCATTTTCTTTTTGAGATTGTTGCCCAATGTGAGCGAGATGATCGGCATGGTCACGGCGGAGGCAGACGCGGACGCGGCATGATCATTGTCCATGGCATTCATTGTGGGCGTGTGAATGTTGGCCAGCGAATCTCTCGATTCGCTGTTCTGGCGACTGACGCTGTCCGCCTGGTTGCTATTGTTGTTGTTGTTGTTATTGTTGTTGTTGCTAATGTTGTTGTTGTTGCTGTTCTTCAGATGCGAATAGCCGCTGGCATTGGAAGCCGTGTCCGCCATGGAGGCGCGCTCGTCATTGGTCGATATGGAATCCTCCGAGGGCGGCGGCTTATGCACGTGCCCCACCTGAGCACCCCCCGACACCCCGACGCTGTCGCGGCTATCGTAGTCATCGTTCAGCTGTTGCTTGCGTCTCTCCGACTGCAGCTGCTGCTGCTGCAGTTGCTGCTGCTGGAGGGGCTGCAGCTCTGTGTCGCGTCGCTGCGCCTCCAGGTTGACATTGATCAGGATGCGCGGCTCGTAGAGTTTCTCGATTTCGCGGCGCGCCTTCTCGTATTCCTGTGACGGATTCTCGAATTCGCCGCTAAAGATTTTGTTCTTCAGTTCGGCCAGTTCGTCGGCCTCCTTTTCGCGATCCTTGGAATCGGCATCAGCTTCCCGGACGCGCTCGGCCAAACGCTGCTGCAGCTCGCGGCCTCTGTAGTAGAGCACATCGTCGCGCTCATCGTCATAATCCTCGACGAACTCCTTCAGCCGTTTGGCGTCCTTCTCGCGCTCCTCCTGTCGCATCAGCTCCTTGTGACGATACTGCAACGATAATTTGTTGTAGATTGGTTTATTTGTAATTTGTCAAAAGCTTGCTCTTAGGCTGAGATGACATTTGCTTAAAGTTCGAAACTCGATTAATTGTATTCATGGCATATTTTACTGCTCAAGCTGTCTCGCTCGCACTTCTCGTACTGCCTACACTAATGCTAAGATAACATTTGCTTTAGGACTAAATATAAAAAGAGATTTATTTTTATTCTTTTCCAGTATTTATCTAACAGTAAGCTATCTCCTTTGCTCTCTCCAATTATTTGTCATATTCTAAGATGACATTTGCTTAAAGTTTGCAGAACGTTTCTCATTCTCTCTTTCTCTCACAAATTGCCTTTAAATATGCTAAGATGACATTTGCTTAAAGCTTAAGTCTTATTGTAATTAGTTTATGGAACTAATCCAAGTTTGAGTTTTAGCAAAACTCTTTGCTTTAGTTTAAAGAATTTATCACATTTTAAGTTATTAATTTTGCTGCCTCTCTGTCGCATGCCTGAAAGTGCACTGTCATCATGCTCTAATGACATTTGCCTAAAATGTATGCAAGAAAATTTAGTGGGGTTTTTTCAAGTGCGAAAAGTTGCAAAACAAAAAACTAAAAAGTATTTGAAATTAAATTTCTTTCGGCCAATTTCATTTTTTCTTTAAATGCCATATTCAGAAGTATTGAAAGAGAAAAATTAACAGATAAAACTTAATTCAAGCAAGTGTCATTAACAGCATATGTGGAGGAACATTCCTATGCTTTGATGACATTTGTATTACACACACATATATATATATATATATGTATATATAAATATGATCTAAAAGTGTCGCTTTGTATTGTCTGCCTATAATAAACCGGCATTGGATTAGATTTAAGCAAGTGTCATAAGAGCATAACTGGAGCAAGATTCCTATGCTAAGATGACATTAGGATCTTCCATTTCTATCTCTCTATTGTTTAGCTATAATAAACCGGATTAAGTTTAAGCAAGTGTCATTAACAGCATATGTGGAGAAACATTCCTATGCTAAGATGACATTTGTCTTTTTTGTTACTCGAGTTATAATTAACCGGATTAGGTTTAAGCAAGTGTCATTTGTGGCCATAATTTAATTGTACTCTTTACCTTTTCATTCTCCTTGGCCTTGCGCTTCTCGCGTATCTCCCAGTTGGTCAGACGCTCCTGGTAGGCCGCTTCCTTTTCGCGTGCCTTCTTCTCGGCCTTCTTGCGCTCGCGCATCTCCTCCTCCATTTCCTTTTCGCGCCGTGCATCACGCACGGGCTTGATGATCTTCTCCTCGCGCTCGCGCTCACGCTCGCGCTCCCTGTCCCGCTCGCGCATCTCGATGCGCTCTCTCTCGCGCTCGCGCTCACGTTCACGCTCTCGCTCACGTTCACGTTCGCGATCACGCTCGCGTTCGCGCTCGCGTTCACGCTCCTTGTCGCGCAGCTCACGGAGCTCGCGCTCACGCATTAGCTCACGCTCACGCTCGCGCTCACGTTCGCGCTCACGGTCGCGATCACGATCGCGCTCCTTGGTGCGCGACTTGGAGCGCCGATCGCGACGCCTGCTCTCCTTGTGCGAGTCGCTGTTGCTGCGCTCCTTGTGCTCCTTGCGCGCCGGCGACACATCGATGGTGACAATGGACTCCTTGCGGCTGCGACTGCTCGGCTCCTTGCTGGGCTCCTTCTCGCTGATCTCGACCACCTCCTCGACCTCGCTGCTGGCACTGATGCTGGCTGGGGGCTTGCCGCTGCCGCTGGCGCTGCTGCTGCTCGTTTTGCGTTCGCTTTCGCGCTGCTTTTTGCGCTCGCGATCGCGTTCGCGCTCCTTTTCCTTCTCCTTGGTGGCCAGCTGTTTCTCCTTTTCCTTCTCCTTTTCCAGCTCCTTGCGATGCTCATCGGCCTCGGCGCGCTTACGGAATTTGCCAATTTCGCTGCTGATCAGGTTGCGTTTCTCCTCCTCGAGCGCATTGTCGTTTAACGATTTGATTTTGATGTCATCCTCGCCGCGTCGCGTCTTCTTGTTGCGATTGCTGCTGCTGCTGCCGTATAGATCGCCGCGATTCGTGCCGTCGAAGCCCTCGAACTCGTGCTTGTGCTCCTCGAGTAGCTCGTGCATTTGGCTGGTCGCGAACTCGTCCTCAGTCTTTTCGTCCATGGCATTGGGACCGCCCTCGCCATTCTTGCACTCCTTCTCCTTGTAATCCTCGATTAGCACTTTGTTCTTTGCATCCACCTTAGCCACCAGCTTCTTACCATCAATCTCCAGTTCGCTCAGCAGACGCACAGATCTCATGGCCGCAATGGGACCGCTGCAGGGACGAAAGAAACGGCACATTCAATTTACCATCTAGTTCGAGAAGCTTATGTTTACATAACGCTGTTAACGTCACATTAACAAAACTGTTAACTGTTCAACAAATTCCTGTTAAATGTAACATTTAGACATGGCTTCCAATTTAATTCATTCTTATTTATGCTGTCTTAATAATGTGCGATAAAACCAGGATTTCTTCTATGATAAAAAGTGCTACAAAAAATCATTGTTTATTTGTTCTGTTAACGTCACGCTGTTAACTTAGAACAAGTCTCTTATTTTATCAGTTGCGAATTTGTTGAACAAATGTATTAGAAAAGTTTTAGCATTGTTTAACTTTGCGAATTCCTCTTTTGTGTCCTGTTAACAGAGTCACGTAACTGTTAATGTTAGACAAGGCTATTCTTCGTCACAATAACATAACGAAAATTTTAACAAGTTTATCATAAAAAAGACTTTGCTGTGGCTCTGTTAGCGTAACGTTTGACTTAAAAACAAACTAAAAACGAAAAAAAAACCCAACTGTGTTCGGCACGCCGAAGATTTAATGGCCTTACAGACGGACAGACGAAGATACGGTTTTCAGCTATGTTGAGAGAAGGTTGGTTATAGGATTTAACGATCTTCGACACATGCGCCTGGAGCAGAAAGAAGGAAAGGAGAGGGACTAGTCGGTCGTGGCTATAGCGAGTCGGCTGCTGATACTGATCAAGAATATATATATACTTTGCGTTAAGCGTCTCCTTCTATGCACATTGTCTTATAAGCAGAAGCTACACGAATAGCTTCAAGGAGATGCTGCACTCCGTTGGATAGGTTGGCTTACTCGAATTCACAGAATCCGAAAGTGGAGACGCGCTTCCAATTGATGACAACGCCGCAGGCGGCTAGAATGCGCTTGAGCAGCGATTCCGGGACTCTTTCGCTGATATTGCCCACGAAGACGGTGATGACGGGTCCACGGAATTGCGGCTGCGGCTCCGGCGGTCTATGATAGACTGTTGGCTGTGAGCTGATCGTCGCCGAGTTGCGGTAGCTGCGTGGCGGGGGTATCGGAGGCATCAGCTGGGTGAGCAAAAAATAAAAACAAATTAAAAAACATTTTCTTAGCATTTGTGCTTGCATTTAATTTCAGTAAAAATAAAAAAAATTAAAACTTACATGCGGCGGTGGTATCGATGCATTCATATATGGCGGCATCGGCGCTCGCGGTGGATATGACATTTTGCTGTTCCTTATGTTTTGCCTTCCTGTTTAAATACTAATATTTTGTATATTGTTGTTGGGGTGCGTGTAAATTAAAGCCGACACATTCAGACACACACACACATACGCAACATGCACGCTCGTACACATATACAGTCGCACGCAAGCATACACATACACCACACACACACACACATGCACACACGATACAAGCACACGGGTCTTCAAGTGAACGTGAATCGTGTACGATATTTGTGGTTTAAAGGCAAATATGTGTTCGTTTCGCTATCTAAAAGAGCGTGCGCATTCAAGTACACTATACGTGTTCAAGTCTGCCCGCCGCGATATCGTATTTAAGTTTTAATTTTTACATACATATGCAATTTAAAAAGAAACTACACGTAAAAAAGGCTGTTCTCAAATTTTCACCACTGCAGCCGCTGCCACATAGAGATGAGAAAGCGTGAAAGCGCTGCTGTTATCGTTTGGCGTGCGATATATATACACAATGCAGTCGTTGTGCGTTGACAGTCGGCGGCTTGGTGTTGAGAAATACCTAAAAATTAGTGTCAGCTGTTCGCAAAAATACAAACACAAATACAATTTTATTCAACATTCGAGATTTTATAACAGCATCATTTAAAAGTTTGCAAGAATGGTTTCTGGCACAAAAAATATATGTTAATTAAAACTACGGTCACACCTTCGGGCCACTAAGTGTTGGCTTTTAGCAGCTGCGTAGCAAGCATTTCTGCTGTTAAATAAAATAAAAACAAAGTATATTTTGATTTGTTTTGAAATTGAATCCAGACCCATTATACAATGCGCCTGAGTGCTGTGCTGCGATGTCGCAGCGTTATCAAGCAACAATATGTGCCCCAGCACAAACCAGTGCTGGACGATGACATAAAGCGTTTGGAGGACTTTATGCTGTCAAAACCAAACATTTTGGTGCTCACTGGCGCTGGCATCTCCACAGAATCAGGTGCGCAAATAACTGGCGATTGACTGACTGCTGAACAACAGTTATGTTCTTGCCCGATCGGTTTTAAGTTCATTTTCAATGAACTTAATTATACAGACCCACCATTTAGTAGGCCTTTCACTGTATATTAAACTGTTGTTTTTCCGTCTGCAGGCATACCCGACTATCGTTCGGCTGGCGTTGGGCTGTACGCGCGCACCAATCACAAGCCCATACAGCACATCGAATTCCTCAAATCGTCCAGTGTGCGAAAACGTTATTGGGCCCGCAACTTCGTGGGCTGGCCAAATTTCTCGAGCACCCAGCCAAATGGTACGCATCATGCGCTGGCGCGCTTTGAGCGTGAGATGCGCATCCAATCGGTGGTCACCCAGAACGTGGATCGGCTGCACACAAAGGCCGGCTCCAAGAGCGTGGTGGAGCTGCATGGCAGCGGCTATGTGGTCAAGTGTCTGGGCTGTGAATATCGCATCGATCGGCACGAGTTCCAGAGCATATTAACCTCACTGAATCCGGCGTTTAAGGATGCGCCCGAAATGATACGGCCCGATGGCGATGTGGAAATACCAGCTGAATATATTGAGAATTTTCAAATACCCCCATGTCCGCAATGTGGCGGCGATCTCAAGCCGGAAATTGTATTCTTTGGCGACTCTGTGCCCCGAGATCGTCTCGATGCGATTGCCAAAATGGTTTACAACAGCGATGGCCTGCTGGTGCTCGGCTCCAGTCTGCTGGTCTTCTCCGGCTATCGCATAGTGCTCCAAACCAGAGACCTTAACCTGCCGGTGGCTATTGTCAATATTGGAGAGACGCGTGCGGATCATTTGGCCGACATTAAAATCGCGGCCAAGTGTGGCGATGTGATACCCAAGCTCTTCGATTATCGTGCCACAACTTAGGCGTACTCTATTTTCGAACTCGATTTTTTGTTTATTTTTATTGTAATACAAATTGTTGACATTTTATTTACTGATGGGACTCGTTAATCGAAAATGCGACGCTCTTCTACTTTAATCTCCGATCCATGTAATTATATATATATATTCGCCATATGCCAGCAGGCAGCTGAAGACTTCAAACTCGTAAACCCTTGTACAAAATATTGTCACGTCTATATATATTCTTGATCCGTATCCTGAAACTTTGTATGGTGCCGTCTTTCTGTGCAGGTTGCACACATTTCAAGGTTGACCGGATCAGATTGCTATATCACATACTGTAGACACGTTCAGAAACTATTATTTTTCATGTTATCTTAACGAGACTTGGTGTTAAAGCAATATCGGACTACTGTGATATATATTTGTAGAAAGAACTGGTTTAGAAATTTGTTTTGTATCTCAAATTTCTGTTTATCAAGACATCTGGGCGAAAGTCAGCAATTGCCAGCTTCTCTTACATTCCTCCAACAATCGATCGGAGCTAAGACTTTGATTTAAAAGCACTTTTTGTGACGAACATAGCTGATCTTTTGGGTTAATCTGTGTTCTTTTATATATATTTCAAAATATTCTATTCCTGCCAACGTTTTTCCCATATCGATATACATATATCGCTTTTGAGAGATTTCTTTTGAGCATATTTCCGTTTCGTTCTCGGAAGCTCATGACTTCAAATTTGAAATATATAATATAAGATGAGTCTAATTTTGTTTTCTTGTTATTTTTCATTTTTTATAGTATCGATAGAAATCGGTTTTGAGGCATAACTCGAATAATTTTAAAGCTAGAGCCACCAAATTTGGTATGTTAATTCTTGTATAGGTCGCACAGATCCCGCACAGATATTTTACATTTTGGATGCCTCAACCCGTTCATCCCGTTATCAAGAAATGGCAAGAGACAGTTTTTAGCTCTCATGTGCCACGTATCTCTGTATATTTTGTAGGCTTAGCTTTTGGTATATTGATCGATCTTGTCATAGATGCCACGATTGCTGTCGCGAAACCAAACGTCCGTTTCGAGCAGCGGCAGGTGCTGCAGCGCCTCCACCGAGCGATCCCCCAGACGAGCATCGTTCGCAGCGAAGCGCAGTGTGCAGGTGCCGGTGCACAGATCCATCTGATGTTCATTGTACTCGTAGACCACCAGATAGAAGTATCCGCCGCAAGTGAAGGATTCGTTCAGCAGCAGAGGCGGCTTTAGGGAGCATCTTAGCTGCTGTGTGGAACTGATCTGCGAGTCCGCCAGCTCGATGACGGTTTGGTCCGCTAGGAGTGCGGCTGGCGGCGATTTGGCAAAGCTTTGACTGAAACGTGGACAACTTTGTGTTGACAGGCGCTGCGAAGGCACAACTGTTATCACACTCGCCTCATTGGACGTGGCATCCTCGTCGGAGAGCACCGGCGAATCCTCGTCCGGCGCTATGCTCAGTTCACAGCACGTTTTGGGCATATAATAGGAGGCATCTATTTGTTCGTCTGCCGTTTCCCAGCTCGGCTTGTGCGGCACCCTCTGGCCGGAATAGTTGTGATGACCATGGATCAGCTTCTGCTCGACCTCAATGCACGAGATGCATTTAAAGTCGTTTGGCTCAACGCCATAGGTGCGGACCAAGCGCATTGTGCCCACACGACACTTGAGATGGGTGCCCGTGGCGGCGCACAGTATGCACAGCTGTATGGTCCAGCTGTGTCTGTGGTAATCCCGTCCATTGGGACACAGGCACACAGTCTGTTCGCAGCGCAAACGCTTGCTGTGCAGCTCGCTGTACGCATTCGGCTGACGCTCCCACGTGGCATCGCGGTCCGGCACAAACACCGACTGCAGCCGTATCGTGTCGTGGAACTTCTTGTCCCGGCACCACAGACAACGCAAATAGTAGCCGGAGGCGAGCGCATAGCGTCGCATACACGTCCGATGCGCGAATCCCTTGCGACAGCAATCACCGTACGTGACGTTGTGCAGCAGGAATGGTGAAATGGCACGGAAACAGATGTCGCAATAGGCATCCTTGGGTGGATTGTTCATCAGCTGCTGCTGGTAGTCGTCCAGCGGCATGCAGTGCTCGCAGTAGCTGCGAAATTCATCGCAAAATTGATATATGCAGCGATTCTCCAAGCCGCAAGGCATGTGAAAAACAATGCGACACTTGTAGCAAACGACGCTGGCGCCTTTCTCCTTGCAAAAGGCGCATTTGCGCTGCTGGGCGGCGGCCGCCTCCTGGCGTATGTCGCGCAGCAAAAAGCCCAGAATGCCGCTGGAGTCGCCGCCGCGTTGGGGCAAATTCGTGGACAGCAGCTGTTTACAGAGTTAGCAGAGTTTAAAATAGCTGAAAACATTCAAATGTGCCGCTTACCAGACAATAATAGTGCACCGTCACCTTCTGCTTGATCATCCATTCGCCATATAGCAAGACATCATCTGTATCCTCGTTAGCACTGCTTTTATTGCATATATCACATTTGTACATGACGCGACGTACTTTTCAAATATTGCAACAGTGTGACCGACCGCGCGAGCTTTGTTATCGATAACTGGCAATTGCTGATGCAATGCCGGCTGTGTTCTCCAACACTGCTTGTCAGAATAGAAAAAAAAAACAGCACATATATAACAAAAAAAAAAAGCACACACACACACAAGCAGCAGCAGCAGCAGCAACAACAACAACAACAGCAACAACATAACAACCAGAGAGGCATCGACAAAACTGGCTGTTATTTATTAATTTATATAAAACAAAACCACAATGGCCTACGACTTAAAAAAGGAGTCTGACGTTAAGGAATATGTGGAGAAGCTGGGCGTTGAATATCGCTTTGGCTGTTACTCTGAAAAGAAACCGGAAGGTAAAGCAACAACAACAGGCGGCCAGTTCGCCAGCTACAACAACAACAGCAGCAACAAAAACATTGTGTGCGCTCTAACCTAGGTTTTTGTATCGTAATTGAATTACAAAACAAACGAACATGAACATTTTTGTAAACCATTCGCTAAAGAAGACCAACTAATAACTGTAAATACATTATTTACAGTGTGCCATCTACTGGGCGACTATCTGGAGGGCATCAAGAAAGATTTCGAGAAGGCCTCCAAAGTATACAAATCGACATGTGACGACTATGGTTATGCAAAATCCTGCTATAAATATGGCAACTATAGCTTCCTCGGCAAGGGCAAAAGCGGCAGCAAGGGTGAGCCACGCGTTGCCTATCAATATTACGAGAAGGGCTGCAATCTAAACGATTCGGATGCCTGTTTGCATTCCGGCCTGTTGCTAGTGTCGCGCTCCATGCCCAAAGAGATCGACAGAAATGTTTCTCACAAAGAGCTGGGACATGAACAATGCCACCGCCTGCGTCTATCTGTCCAGCATGCATATTTCGGGCGTACAAAAGAAGCCGGAGGATATGGCAAATGGGGGCGGCAATGCGCCAGCCAGCACACAATCAAAATCGATTAAGGACGCCGATTATATTATGCTGAAGGACATGAAGAAGGCATTTCAGTTCGCCCACAAGGCAAGCGAATTGAGTAACATGTACGCCTGTGCCAATCTTAGCCAGATGTACGCGCGTGGCGATGGCATCGAGAAGAACGAAAAGGAGGCGGAAAAGTATAGGAAGCTGGCCCTCGAAATGCAGGAGGAGGTCAAGAAGCAACAGGAGACGCTCAGTTTTAAACAGGGCGTCGGCATGCCAAACTGATTAACCTATACCTAAGTATATATACATATATTGATAAAAATACATATATTTACATGTATATATACAAATACTATATATACATATATATAGTTTACTTTTCCTTTCCATGCTGCGCTCTTTCCTGTAGTTTTCCAAAATATACATCTTGTTCTTTATTTTTTCGTTTTGATTTAGTTTTTGCCATTTTGCGACGCGTTTCAAACAAACTCTTATGTTGCATCATTTGCTCCGTTGACCTTTAAATACTTTCAATCTACTTCCTATATCTAACTTAAGAGGGCTATATAAACATTAATATATATATATATACATATCTGTATATGTATATATATATATATTATTTTTTCATCGTGTACATAGGCAGCATTTGCGTTTTCGGCATGTGTTTTGTAAAAGAGGAAATTCCTAGTTTTAATTGTTAAAGTTAAACGAGTAACAAGCAAAATGATAACCTTATTATTCCCCGTTGATACCTTAAATTAAATACAAAGAAACAAACCAAAATCAAGCACAATCAAATTGCTCTCAAATATATTCTATACCCTGCACCTATTGCAAATGGGTATAAGTATTCTTGTATAATGTATGTAACAGGCAGAAGGAAGCATCTCTCGCCTAGCAAAGGTTATATGTTCCTGTTCAGGTCGACTAGCCGAATTGTCCAGAGGCTAAAAATGTGAAATATATTTATACTCGTACAGAGAAAGATGTCAAAAAAGATAATTATTCAGGTTGACAGTTGGTTTTTGAGCATATTTCAAAAATTATAGCCTTATATGAATACGTCAAACTTGGCAGATAGATTCTCGCATCGTATGCCTTATTAAATATATTTGACTTTTTGTATACCTTCCCCCGTTCCCTCCAATATTGAAAAGACTTGCTATAGGGCAAATATTTGGATGCGTAAACGTTTTTTTTTTTTATTAATTCGCTATTGTAACAGTAAACAAATTGCTTAGCAAGTAAAGTAAAAGTTAAAAAAAAATATGAAATTATAAATAAAGGTTACAATTTTGACCATTTTTAAAGCAGCCAGTTCGTAAGAAATGTCCCTACTATATAAGAAAATTAACCGGATTTTGATAATCGAGCGCATTTTGGCTGTGGCTGAGCTTCTAGATTGATTCTGTAACCGAAGTCAATTCACATTGCTAAATATAATTTATTTTTAACCAATGATGGTTGTCAAATATAGGTAAAAAACGATATCTATTGGAAGAATCTGAACGAGTCCAATTCAACCCCCTCCATAACTTTATGTATGTATAGAAAGAAATTGAAATGTTTTTAAAGGTAGCTCGGCGCTGGCTTGAGGGTATCTCCCAGTCGGGCACTCTCTCTCTCTCTCTCGCTCCCTCTCTCCCTCTACGAAAAGTCTATTAATCCGAATGGCGGAGAGCCGGGTGTGGGGAATTTGTTAATGGGCATTGCCTATTGTGCTTATCGTTAAATCGTTGACAAAACGTGTTTTCTTCATTTCTTTATATATAAAATCTAGAATTTCTATTATCAGTTCCCAGTTCCCAGAACTTGCAATTGATTTTAGATCAACAGCCCACAGCTGGACGCGTAAACAATAATTTTACATGGAAACGTAAAAAAATTCCAAATATCTCAATGTAGTGCATTTTGTACTATTGATTTTGAATCATATTGATGTGCCTGGATGGACTACTTTTTGAAGTTTTTTGTAAGAAGATAAAGTATTTTTGCACTAGTCTTATTGGAAAGAGAAGAGCAAGAGAGAGAGAGAGAGAGAGGGAGAGGGATAACTACGTGCGTTCAATGAAAAATCTATCGAGTCTAATATATAGCTGCAAGTAGATAACAATAGCTATTAAACTAATCATAGGCCTCTCTTGTATAATTTCGATATGAGGAAAAAAGCCACCCACAATTGCGTAAAACTGGCGACAAGCTCAACTCAATTCTGTCGGAAAATTATATGTATATACTATGTACACGATATCAGGTCTAGCTCTTACAGCTTTGACTGTGCGTCGTCGATCAGTCGGTCAATAAATCAGCTTGATATATTGATCAGAATTCCAACTAACTAAATCTTACTATTCCTGTGGCAATTACGGCTTGGTCCAATTGGACAATTCCAATTGTATTCTTATAAGTCGCACATCTAGCCTCATGTCATATTGTTAAACCAGCTGGTAAATAGAGATAAGTCCATTCAAATGATCTCACGTATTTTCTGAATATCTATCTGTTGGGATTTCTGCTTGATTAACTGTAATGCATATATTTGTATATGTTGCCAGGCAAATATCGTAGATATGCGACTGTTAACTGTTTTCGATCCCATTTCTGGAGATGACTAATTGCTGCCGCCATCAGCTTCGGTTTCGTACTCCAGCAACAGAACATGCGTTTCTTGATAAGATGAATGAATATCTAATGAATGGGAAGACAGCGAACCAAACTAATCAGATGAGACGCGATAAGAACCATTCGGGATTCGGTTCCTCAAAGAAAATTGCTTGTTTTCGAGGCGCTTCAACTATTTATTCTTTTTCATACTCTCTTTTATCTATAACTATGCTTTTATCTGCACGTCATTTTGCTATTTGCATATGTTTGTCAAACTTTGAGTTTTGAATGCGAAATGTGTTTTTAGACATGTATTCCAGATGAACTCCAATCTTACCTCCATTTTTTTTTTTTAAATTTAGATAATTGTAAAATAAAAGCTCTGGACAGTAATTTTGAGAAGATCGAAATTTCTTGTCACAAGAATGTTGAAATCCCTAGTAAAAGTCCTTTACTTAAAACTTACATAACTTTGGGTATATTGAACCGATTTTCGTGATCGTTACCAGTTTTTTAATGGCTTGTCCTTAAGATTCATTCTGCATTTGAATTTCATTCAAATATCAAAAAAATCTTATCAATTTTTGTGAAAAAATGAATGTAACAGGCAGAACCGTTATTGTTGATTTTGATTTTGCAACTAATTGGTTAAGGCATTAAAATAAAGAAATGAACTCATTAAAAGTAGGTTAATTAACTAGTTTATTGGATTAGTTTTGCAGGCATTATAAGTGGACTTTATATATATATAAATAGGTTTTTGTTGTTGTTGCTGTGTTGTTGCCATTGCTGTTGTTAAAGCCAAGCCCAAGCTAAAAAAAAAAAAACTTTCTTTGATGGCACGAGCTGTTTAAATAGAACATAATTAGTTGGTCGCTGTACCATGACATGACCTTTGCCGCATAGGATGGTATGCTGTACAAAATGCGCTGTCAAACTGTGCACGGATCGCTGTCGATGTGAGGAAACTGGAGACTGCTCGACGACAACAACAACAATTCTAATAATACGGGCACGGTAAGTAGCTGTGTGTGCGTGTGTATGTGCGTGTGTGTGTGCGTGTGTGTGTGTGTGTGTGGCCAGCATGCAATCGGGCTTTTGTGTGCGACCAGTACAAGTACATAGTCTATGGCTAGTTAAACTGTATATAGGCAGCGTGCTATAGTACAAAACATATGCATACATATATATGTACATGCATGAGTGTACGTATGCATGTGTATGTGTGTATGTAATTCAATATAGGAGGTACAGAATAAGCACCGAATGGCTGGCTCTATAGAACAAAATCAAGCTCGGCAAATATTTCGATGCTCAGTTTCGACTAAAGCGCTATCCGAAACATCGAATCAGTTTAACGTCAAACGTCGGCGGCATCAAGACAATATAGAAAAAAATCAAGTCAAAGCCCAAGCCAAATGCTAAACTGAACGAAAGCCAAAGCCAAATGACAAATGCTAAAAGCTTAGACTACAAATACACATATACACACACCAACATTACATACATGCATGCACAAATACACACAGACAGAAGCCGAGCATAAAGAAATGTGAAAGATGCGCGCGGTCAACTAAGCAACGGGATTCGGGATTGACAATTTTTTTTTTGCTGTTGTTTGTTGTGTGTGTTTGCCTATTGTCGTTGTTGCTGCTGCTGCTATTGCTATTGCTGTTGTTATTGTTACTGTTGTTGTTGTTGTTGTTGCGGCTTCAGCGTAAAAGTGTGATAAAGATAAAAGACAAGTGAGAAGCGATATTCGTGACTGGCACGAGGCGCGTGCGTGTGAGCGAGATCGCAGGCGCAGCTGTCAACTGTGTGACTGGCTGCAGAAGAGCAAGAACAAGAGCGAGAGCCGAAGACAAATTTAAAGAAGAAGACGCTAAGTAGGAAGAAAGGCGCAACGGCGGGCTGACAGTGGCGGCGGCTATTTTATGATTGCCCCTTGATTTATGCCTTTTGCCTTAAAACGCGGCCCGACAACGCGAAATGCATTAAACGAGATACACACACACAGAGACACACGCACATACACACATACACACACACACACACACACACATATACGTAGCGATAATCTGTGTGTGGGTGTGTTTGAGTGTCGCGCCACGCCGCGCCTTGTGCTTTAAATTACCACCTCCCCTCCAAATAGCGGTCTCCCCCGCCTCCCCAGCGCTGGGTACATTGCAAGAGATCTTCACGACAATTGAAAATAACGCTCGTTTATACATACAGAGGCTTTAAGCCTGCTACATATGCTGTGTGCGTGTGTGTCTGTGTGTGTGGGTGGCTGGCTGGCTGGCTGTGTGTGTGTGAGCGTGAGCGTGAGTGTAAGTGTGTGTCTGCTACGGCTAAGCCGCAACTAAAGCGCCGGCCAGAGACGAAGGCAAAGACGGGAGACGGGGCCACCAAGCCAGGCAAATCAACACCATTGAAGTGGAAGCGACAGAGATTGAGATTGAGATTGCGTTTCATATAGCGGCCGCAGCGCAGTTTACGAGTGTCCATCACCACTACAACACCGTGCAGCAATGGAAGACTATTGGGGTCTTAGCAGCACTACGGGTACGGGCACAAATTACATACTAAAAATTCACAAAAGAAACTACTTGAAACATATATGAAAAAAATTATTTAAAAACTCAAAGCAAAACTAACCTCAAAATCAATTTATCAATTGAAACTCAAGAAAAGGAACACAAACAGCAAAAAAAAAAAAAATTAAGTGTTGTAAAATATGCAAACTAAATAATTCAATTAAAACTAAAACAAAAAAGTCAACAATAAAATTAAGTTGTACGAAATATTTGTATTTTTTTTTTGTCCTTTTTGTTATGCGGCAAAAAGCAAAGCGAATTAAACAATTAAAACGAAAATTTAAATCGTGCGTGTGTGTGTGTGTGTGTGTGTGTGTGCAGTGACGTCATACATGCAGAATGTTACACATTTCGTCTAATTTATCACATAAATATATATATATATATATTGTAACTAATATATAGTTCAACTATGTCGTCGTCGGTTAGATATGTATTTTTTTTTCTGCACATTTGTCGGCGCGTTTTTCGTTTATATACACACACACACACACACACACACACACACACACACACACACACACGCATACTAGCGCACATAATCTATTTATACGTGTGTGTGTGTGTGTCGCGTAAACTAAAGCATATGGATCAATTGTCTAAATTGGCTCATTAAGTGAAACTTAATGACATTTACTATGCACAAAAAAAAAAAAAATAGAAATAAAACCAACAAAAAAGGCATGAAAGAAACAAAATGTAGAACAAAATCAAAAGACTGTTGTTGTTGTTGATGCTGTGACTATTGTTTAGTTTTCCTTTTTTTGTTGTTCTTTTTGTATCTTTGTTGCGGAAAACTTAATTTTTATAGATGACTTCATTTGTATCTGGCTGCTGTACAATGCGGCGTATGCGCAATGCGATTAAGCATACGCCTTGGCGAGTCCAAAAGCACTCGAGAATGTCTATAAATGAAATGTACTTTAAATAATCGAAGTACTCAAACGTTTTGCAACACTTAAGCTAATTTACAACACTGTTACATTTTACAGGCATAATTTTTGAAATTCAATCTCAACTAATTACCATTCAAATGAAATCAAATTCAATTAAATTTAGCGTGCCAAACAAATCGTTTGCCTGGTTTTTTTTTTTTGTTTATTTTTGTTTTTTAATTTTTTTTGTATTTTGTATGGTATTTGTTCGAACGCATTGAAGCGTTGCATTCAAAACAAAATTATGAGGCCTAAAACCAACTTACAAAAGGTATTTTGTCAACACGCAACTGAATTTGGTAAACATCAATCATTGCGATGGTCAATCACTATTAACATGCACTTATATATATATATAACAACAAGATTCTATAAGGTTTTGGTAGCCTGATTTCTTCAGATCGGTCGGTTGTGACTTTTTTCAACATAACCCAACTTACACATTTAGATAATATGAAGCAAAGCAAGCAAATGCCCTTTCATAGCTTCCTCTTTTCATCAAGCACCTGACCACAGCTTAAAATTTGACAAGAAGCACAAACTTAACAAAATGTGAAGCAGAAATTGCAAAATGATGGCAACCCTTCGTCAATTGCCAGACAGCCCATTAATAACAATCTGGCAGCACTGGTCAACTAATTGTCCGATTCATATTTGATTCTGGAATTTGCAACACTGGCAATGTATATAGAGGTACACCCTAATACGTAACAGTTGGTTAAAGTGACTGCTAATAAGTTGACAGTCAGTTGGCAGTCAGAAATCATAAACTATAGCTGAATAGCATATTAAAGTGACTGTCAAATTAACAAACAGGAGCATGCTATAACATGCCTCAAAGTCATATAAAATCAGAAATTCTCCAGTGAAACAAGTTCAATTTGGACAAGTCTTAAATTGTCCCATTCCGAACGTCCGATCACAAAGTGCACAGAAACTTGCGCAAGATCCAGATACAGATACAGATACAGATACAGATACAGATACACAGATTCAGTTACAGATACATTGACAGTAACTAACTAGAAGCGAGGCACACCTATACAGAGATTGTCACATTGGCGATGCGAAGAGATGGGTGCTCTCCAAGTTAACTTAAACGGTACACAAAAGTCATATTAAAACGCATTGTGGCGTTGATTTTGCTTACTTATGTATATACAAAATATTTAACATATACATATGCAAACACATACATGCACATACGTGCACGTAAATACATATGCCTAAATGGTATGTGGGTCCGGTCTATCTAACGATTTGTCTGTGAATTCGCCCCTTGAATCTATCTAGTAAAACAATCGAGAATAACGACAATGTGACGTATACGTAATATTCTTTAGGACACAACTTTTGATCGTTTCAGTGTTGTACAGTACGTACAGATGGTGCATGTTTTTCTTATAACAATTATATAAAGCTCAAGGCGATTTGAAAATTTTCAATTTAAAGAATCTGTTGCTCACAAATAATCTTGAGTTTATCTTTTATAAATCGAAATAAATAATCTAAAATAAACACAATAGAGAATATCGGCAATGTGGCGTATATGTAATATTCTTGAGGACACACAACTTTCGATCATTCCAGTGTTGTAAACTGTACAACACAACTTTTCAGCATTCCAGTGTTGCAGAGTCCTTACAGACTGTGCCAATTCACTGTTGTTCACATTTTATCTTAGGCAAAGGATATCTTCGGCACGCCGAAGATTAAATACCCTTGCAGACATTTCCCTTTTGCAGACATGTGAGAACATTGAAGCTCGTCATTATCGAGTTTGATGATAATATCTTGGCAAACCGATATTTTGCTATATAAGAACCGATCTCTCCTATGGCAGCTATATGATATAGTGATCCGATGTTGTGAATACGTGTAAGACTTATAAATGCCAAGTTTGGTAAAGTAAGTAAAATAACTTGATAACTAAAGGAGTTTTTCATGCAAGTACTTAGTTCTCGACCGATCGTTCCTATGGCATATACATATATACTTTATATATACTTTATGGGTTCGCAGAGATCTCCTTGTGTCTAACGCATAACACATTTCATAGCAAAATTGTAATACACTCTATAAGAATTAATGAAATTAAAAATGGCAGGATAGTTTTCAATCAATCTCTCACTAATTCTCTGCTTTATAAGGCTTTCATCTTGTTAATAATTTGTTGAATAACGTTTTAGCTAAAATACGAGCATGACTTCCGTATGCATTATGAAATTTTCGGCTTAACTATTTGTTAGTTGATAGATTGGCATATTTTCTGGATCATTCGGCACTTGCTTCTACTTCGACTTCATGCTACTTGCGTATGCATAGCTTTTGTGCTGCACTTCAGTTTAACTGGTGGCTGTCACTGTCAAGTAACTGCTAGTTAAATTTGATCAAACTGTTCTCAGGGTTCGAGTCTTAGCTGCTCTACACATTGTTATTGTTGTTGCTGTTGCTGTTGGATCGCTTTCACTACTGTTTATGCGGCTGTTATTCAATTAGTGTGAACTTAATTAACTGTGATTGAACATTTCGCTGATTGTTATCCATGTTAAATTGATTATCATTAACACCGCCCAACCACCCAGCCCCCACCGCAACCACCGCAACCACCGCACCCATCGACCACTGTACTCGCTGTAAATGCTGATTAAGCATTATTGCATTATGCGGGCCGCCGGTTACAAAATGCGTGCGGCTCAATTGACCCCGGCTGGACACAGCAACAGCAACAACAAATGTATGTATGTATGTATATAAATACAAAAACAGCCCGTAGACATTTGCCGCTCCGTTGTCTACTCTCCGGCACGCCAAGTGTCGATCTGTTCCCAGTGGCAGCCACATTTCGGTTTGTCTTCCAGAGTTCTCTTTTGTTGCTCCGACTCGATCTCGTAAATATTATTGAGATGTTGTCTGTTGTGCTGTGGCTGGGTCAAGCTGTTTACAAAACCATTAAGAGCGTCCGACTAGCAGATACTCTGCACTATTCTAGCATCTTCTTTCCTTAGTTCCACTTCATGGAAAGTCTGTTCTTGAATAACTTTGGTATTCGTTGTAACTTTAACAACTATGGAAGATGTATTCGTGAATAATTCAGATATTCATGAAATGTTCAGCGTCTGCATATGGCATAGAAAATTCTGAAAAATATACTCAGTCCCTCGTCCTGATATTTCCTTAACCCTGTGACATAAATTTCCCTAAAACCGATATACCCATTTTACTTATTCGTATCGGGTTCAGGGTATGAGAACCGTCTTCAATTATTTATACAAAAATTTATGCAAATTGCCCTAAAAAAATTTGAACAGATATGCCCCACTCTGTGCCTATATATAGATGTTGTCTTAGAGTGGTTCCGAAAAACGAAAACCAAATGATTTACAGCCAAGCAATGAGTCACATTAAGGTCTTTGTACTTAACTGATTTAAGAAAATTTATATTAGGTTATAAAATATTAGAATTGAATGTAGAACTAACTGAACTAGAACAGAGCACGAATTGAAGTAATAGAATCGTGGAAGAAGAAGAAGAAGTAGAAAGAAGAAGTGTAGAAAAGTCCCCTTCTTCAAAACCTTGACTCTTCCTATAATATTAACAATAAGAATTACGAGAAATCTTTCCTGACTTTTTCAACTAAAATTCAGATTTGTTACGAAAATAGAGAAGAACTTCTTAAAGAATAATAGACTCTTCGATTTTGACAGATATATGTCTGTTAATCCCAATAAAATATTTAAATTTTAAGTTAATAATTTTCTAGAATAATAATTATTCAATAATTGCCATAAAAAAACCTTCTAGAAAAAAACCCCTATAGACGCTGCCATATAATAACCGATTTATTATTAAAATATGCAAATTAATCGCATTGCAAAGTACTTGAACCTATTCAAGGTGAGGTTATGATAATAAATCTAAATGTTACCAATTTAAACTAAATGCTTAGCTGGAAAAACCGATATCTAGCGACGAATCTATATAATAATCTTTAGCATATTATTATTGTTGTTTTTTTTTTTTATTTTAATTCTATACACTTAAATTAAGGAGGTTATGTAATGATTAATTAATATTAATATGAATCTATATTAATATATGTTGTTAATAATAAAACAAAAATTAGCTTCGCGTTAGCATGTATTTTTTATATAAAAAAATCACGTACTTAACCTCATTTAAGGTTTGTTATTATTAATAATAATATTAAGTTCATAACTATTAAAAACAAATGGAAATTATTAACATTTAGCGTATATACTTATAAGTATATAAAGAAATAATTGCGAAGCTAAATCCGACTTAACCTCATTTGAGGTTATGTTATAATTAAAATATTATTATTATTGATAATATTCATTTCATAATCAAACTAACTAAATGCCAAGCTTAAAGAACATGAAACTATTCACAATTTATAATTATAACTATATATTTAACTATGCAAAGAATTCATCGCCAACTTAACCTCACTTAATGTACGCCCCAAAACTGTAAAAGAGTCGATGTTTTTTTTGTTCTTAATTATTGTTCGGCCTATTTGCTGTTGTGTTTCTTGGTCAAAACTTGTTTTGTTTTTTCTGTTTTTTTCTTCTGTTTTTTGTCGGCTTTTATTGGTCAATTTGATGACATCGAGAGATCAAAGCGTTTCTCGTATTTATCGTTTCCGTTGCAGATGCAAACAAAAGCGATAAAAAAAAAAAATGAAAATAACAACAAAAACAAAACAAAAACTATCTAACGGAGAATTCAGCTGAACCGAACCGAACCGAACTCAGCTCATTTGATCGATAATCAAGTGAAGTCCGCGACTCGGAATTGGAATCGGAATCAGAATTGGACACGAATCAGCGTCGGACTCAGCTTCAAGCTTCGGCTTTTCTTTACTTTTTTCTTTTTTTTTTTTTCGGTTCTGTTTTCTGTTATTTGTTGCTGTTGTTGCTGATTCCTTAGCTGGGATCTGACTGGTCAGTCTTGTGGTTGTTCTTGCTGCTGCGCTGGTTTAGTTCTTTGCCGGCGCTTGACAGCAAGAAGCGGCATATTGAGAAAAACTCTGGACGGAAAATAAAAAAAAAACTGAATCAAAAAGAAAAAGAAGCAAATATTAATAAGCGAAAATAGAAACAAGAAACATCATTAGAATTGAAGTGAAAACGTAACATGAAATGTGCGCATTACACGATTATTCATTAACTAACAATGAGTACTACGCGCACAACGAGTACTATTCGTTTATTTACGTACAGCTCGAATTGGTTGTTGCGTGTCAGGGCGCGGAGTGCAGACGTTGATCTTTTAATTGATAGTTAAAGATCTGTGAACTGTGTGTTAAACGACGACAGAAATTGAATAAACTCATTAATCAATCAAGCGATTATTGTTATTCGCACGTAATGCACTCGCTTCGTAAACAGGCCACTTTTGTTACTTATTTTCATTATCGCCCCGGCGATTATCAATCAAATTCGTTTATCACATGCATTATTTATATAACTACAAAGTGTTATTATCCAGGCCTATTTCGATTTTTGATATATCTGTGCATATGGCACAAACTTATAAAGTGCATTCGGCCTTTTGTTAAACCATATAAAATTTAAATACATATTTTAATCATTTTTTTTTAAGTGCAAGAAAAACAAACTATTCGAATTTGTTGAGCGAAATATTAAACGGAATAAGTTATTATAAATATTTTTCAAATATATTTTTGTTAAATATAATTTTTTATTAATGAAACTTTGATCTATCTAAAAAGTACTTTTTTAAATCAAAAGATTGCTAGCTAGCGCTTAAAAGTAGGCAACAAAATTGTTTTTTAAAAGCATAAAAGTGAATATGAATATGAATATGAATATGAATATGAATATGAATATGAATATGAATATGAATATGAATATGAATTTCGAATATGAATATGAATATGAATATGAATATGAATTTCGAATATGAATATGAATATGAATATGAATATGAATATGAATATGAATATGAATATGAATATGAATATGAATATGAATATGAATATGAATATGAATATGAATATGAATATGAATATGAATATGAATATGAATATGAATATGAATATGAATATGAATATGAATATGAATATAAATATAAATATGAATATGAATATGAATATGAATATGAATATGAATATCACTTTTGAATATGGATATGAATCAAAATATGTATATAATTATTATCTATCTTCAATTTCTAAACAGATATAAATTGCACTCAGCCCGCCATTGATGATTTCCCCAGAGATCTATTCACGGAGGCGCAAAGACAGTCCGGTGCTGTTGTACTTCATGTTATAGCCAGTTTATATTTATTTGTAGCATTAGCAGTAGTATGTGATGAGTACTTTGTGCCAGCTGTTGAGAAAATATGTGCAGGTAGGCTCCATAGATTCCGCATAACCGCATATCATTTGCCGACTTACATATATATTACGCCTCGAACAGCACTCAATATGTCCAACGATGTGGCGGGCGCCACGTTTATGGCCGCGGCCACATCCGCGCCGGAGCTCTTTGTCAATGTGATAGGCACATTCATCACGGAGGGCGACATTGGTGTCGGCACCATTGTGGGCTCGGCGGTGTTCAACATACTCGCTGTGGCCGCCTGTTGCGGCATCGGAGCTGGCATGGTAAGATTGGCCCAGCTGGTGCATAAATCCCTTTCATTAATCACTGAATCTATATAATCCCACAGACTATTCCGCTGGACTGGTGGCCACTGACGCGGGATAGCATCGCCTACGGCGTTACGGTCGCCATACTCATCTGTGTCATGCACGACGAGCGCGTCGAATGGTATGAGGCACTCATTTTGGTATCGCTCTATGCGGTCTATTTGGCGGTCATGTATTTCGACAAGTCCTTTCAAAAGTGCGCCAAAGGTGAGTTCATCAGTTGCCACACCAAACTTCTCAATAAGCCAAAGTACACTCAAAACAACAGCAAAGCAGAGAATATATTGATTCAATTCATGAATACTTTGAGTTTCGACTGTTTTTTCCTTTAGTCCTTTATTCATGTATAGGTTGCAAAATCGTTGGAACATTTCATTTAACATTTTTTAATAATCTTAATTATAGCTTCAATTTCTTCAATGTGTAAAAAGTCTAGAGTTTTTTATATCAAGGCTAGGCAAGCAAGATAGATCTTCTAGACTTCTTCTTCATTAAAGAAAATTTTTTAGTTAAAACTTCTCCACATTCTATTCTTATAGGTATCGCCTACTTTTCGCTTATTTATTTATTTTATCGCCGATATTTTTTTGTATTACATTAGGCCTGTAAATGTTTTGGTTGACATAACCTCAAACAATGCACTCCAATTAACATTAACATTAACATCCACTGTATTTAACGCTGCAGCGTTGCCACCTTGCGATGTTTCATACATCTGGCAACACCAATGTGGGCCATACGCTATTCTATTACGTTATGATATTACGTACAATGATTATTAAATTCAAACTACATAGAAAGAGGGAAAGAGAGAGAGAGAGAAGGAAAGAGAGATAGAGAGGGAGAGAGAGAGAGAGCGAAAGAGAGGGAGAACATACACACCCACACACACACACACACACACACACACACACACACACACACACACACACGCACACACACGCACGCACACGACACAGACACAAGCGCATACTCACTCACACACACACACGCACACACACACACACTCAACCAGCGCATAAAACAAGTACCAACTCTCACACACAGGTGGCGTTAAGCAGGCGCGTTCGCGCAGCCGCTCCTCCAACTGCAGCATACACACAAAGAACAGCAATGAGAAGGAACCAGGTACACGGCAACAGTCCAAACGAACTACCCCGCATTGGGCAGCCTCTATTCCAGGGTAACTCAAATCTTTGTTCTCACTTTCGCAGAGCTTGTGGAGAATCGCATTTGCCAGAACATGGCCAGCATTCAGCTGAATGGCGGCCTCAACAACGATCAGGCCAAGGCCAGCAATACAACAACAACAACAACAACAACAACAACAGCAGGTGTTGGCGGTGGCGGCGGCGGCGGCGGCGGCGGTGTTGGTGGAGCTGCTGCTGCGGGTGGTGCCGCTGGTGGTGCAGCTGTCGGCGCAATCGCACCCATCGCCATCGTGGACAATGCGGATGCTGAGGCACAGCTGGCTGCAGTTGCTGCTGCTGCTGCTGCTGCAGCGGCCGCGGCGGCGGCAGCTACGGCCGTCGAGGAGCCGGAACAGGAGGGCTACTCCCTGTTGACATACCCCAAGGGCACCAGCTGCTTTGCCCAGTTCACCTGGTTGATTATCTGGCCAATTCATTTGCTCTTCCGCATCGCGATACCCGATTGCAAAAAGGCCAAAAATAACAAAATCTTTCCGCTGACCTTTATCATGTGTATTGTCTGGATTGGATCGCTGTCGTATGTTGTGGCGTGGATGATAACCATAATTGGTGAGTTGACAACAACTGACAATATTGATTTCATGAATTTCATGGCATAAACGAGCTTCATGTTGATTTAAATCTACAAATACTTATCGGGAATACTATTAGATATAATCTGATTACAACAATTAATGGATCAGACTACAAATTAAAACGAAAGACGAAAGTTTTGTGTTATTCATTTCATGAATTTCACCGCATAAGCGTATTTTGTGTTGATTTAAATCTACAAATACTTATCGAGAATATATAAGTTCAATGCGACTACAAAAATCTTTAGATAATATTTTATGAAAATGTTGTATTCATTTGAATCAACAATATCTATGTTCATTGAAACCATGAATTTCATGGCATAAACGAGTTTTCTGTTGATTTAAATCTACAAATACTTATCGGGAATATACAATGTAATCGGGAATATACAAACTAAGCTTTAGACGAAAGTGCTTTGTAATTATTTCGAAAAATTCTTAAGCGCAACCAACTTGACTTGCCTTTTTTACAGCTACTTATCTTAAAAAGTGTTCAGTTTGCAAAATATTGATTTCATGAATTTCATGGCATAAACGAATGTTTTTCTTAACTTAAATCGACAATATTTAATACATCTATCAATCTATCTATCCATCAATCTGGTTCACGTCTAGTTTAATGTGACCACAATAATTTATATAACAAATTATTATTTTGAAGCTTTAATTCGTGAAATTCTTAAGCGCAACCAACTTGACTTGGCTTTCTTACAGCTACTTATCTTAAAAACTGTTCAGTTTGCAAAATATTGATTTCATGAATTTCATGGCATAAACGAATGTTTTTCTTAACTTAAATCGACAATATTTAATACATCTATCTAAATTTCCTTTTGAGCAGCATTTATTATCTTTTATTTATATTCATATATATATATATATATATTAATTGTTTCTTACCAGGCGATACACTTAAGATACCCGATTCGGTGATGGGCATTACGTTTCTGGCCGCCGGCACCAGTGTGCCCGAGGCAGTCTCCAGCGTGATTGTGGCCAAGCGCGGTGAGTTTTTGATGAGAGCCTTGGTCTAAGCGAAGGCCCGGCCTAGTTTTGGATGATGATGTGTTGTATATTGGATATTTTTTTTCTTTTGGTTTTTTCTCTTTCTCGTTCTCGTTCTCGTTCTCTTGTTGGTTTTGTGTTCTATTTTGTGCAGGTCATGGCTCGATGGGTATTTGCAATTCGATTGGCTCGAACACGTTCGATATATTGCTGTGCCTGGGCGTGCCCTGGCTGATAAAGGCTGTCTTCTTCCCGATACAGCCGGGCCAGAATTATGTGGCTATCAATTCGGCCGGGCTGGAATATTCGGCCATAACACTGCTATCCACGCTCTTTCTGCTCTATCTGACATTCTCGATGAACAAGTTCAAGCTGGACACGAAGGTGGGCATCGCCTGCCTGGTCATCTATTTGGTATTTATGGTATTTGCCTCGCTCATCGAGCTCAATGTGTTCTTTCGCGTCAATCTGCCAACCTGCGGACGATCATGAGCTGGAGCTGGAGCTGGAGCTGGAGCTGGAGCTGGAGCAGGAGCTGGAACTGGTACTGCAATTGGAACTGGCACTGGAACTAGAAGCTGGAAACCGGAAGCTGGGAGCTGGGAGCTGGATCAAATGGCGGCCTAATTGGTCGCTAATTGGTCGACTCTGTGCAGTGCAGTCGTTTTAATTAATTAATATGTATTTCCTGTTCTAATCTATCTACCTTGATAGTTGAGTTACCTTATGCTATTACGTTATGCTGTTATTGTAATACGTTTTTTTTTTTTATTATTACTATTATTATTATTAAAGTAGAGGAAACTCTTCACGACATTCGGCCGCGATCACAGTCGCCGTCGCCGTCGCAGTCGCAGTCGCAGTCGCAGTGATCACGTCAAGTGAAATGAAATGAGAAAAAAAAAAACAATCAAAAATCCAAAAATCCAAAAACCAAACAACAAATTCAATAATGTATTTATATGATTAATATATGAGATTTAACAAAGAAATCGGAAAGTTGTGTTATCTATTTTCTGTTTTCGCGATTTTTAATCAAATATCATAACTCTGAACAAAAGTTGTAAGCTGTAATTATTATTATTTTTTGGAAGCGAGTTCAAGAGAGTTTTTAGAGTGGACAAGAAGAGATTCATATGTTTGAATTTTTGTTCTTTGTATGAGTTTTGGATAGTACTTCAAAGAATGACAATTTTCTCTCTATCTGGCGGAGGATTAAATAACCATGCTTGCATAGAGCCTAGAAAACATATTTCCAACCGATTGTTCCAATGGAGCTGTATGATTTAGTCCACCAATATCAATGAGATCTGAATGCCTAGTTTGATCAGAACTTAAAAACTAATAGAGTTTTTCATAAATAAACATCATCTTCGACCTATGTATAATATACTTCTGCGATTTTATGGAAGGCGAGTTAAGGTAGGAACTTTGGTAAAAGACGTCACAAAATGAATTCCATTGCATACTGACAATTAGCTGTCATTACGCTAAAAAGAAAAGTTCTTTTTTTTTTTGGTTGATAAGAAAAAAGAACCTGTTTTTTTGATTTTGTGAAGCCCTTTTCTGGAAATCCTGGAAGTCCACATATTTTATCTTGATTCAAATATAGAGCTTTCTAGCTGTTGCTAGACAAAAGGTCAAGATTCTTGACTGCAAGCCGGTTCGAATCCGGAAGGGCGAGAAGGAAGGGCGCTTTTATATGTATGTCTGATATCACGTGAAAAGTCTTCAATTGGGTTTCTCCCGTTCAACAGAATTGCGTTTATCATTTTTGACACCATATTAGGTATACTTGTTAAATATCTCAATGCATAGATCTAGTAGTAAACGAGTATATATAATTCTGTCATGAATTGAAAAGTTAGTATACAACAAAAAAATCGGCTCAACAGTTAACGTTCTTGTTCTTTTAACAATTATCTTCCTCAAATTCTAAATGCATTTCAACTTCGATATGGCCTTGAGTAGACTGATGGACGATGAATACGGTAAGCGGAATCAAGCTATACGAAAGTAATAATTTAAATTGAATAGACTGTTGACCAATAATTGTAATCGTCAACAGATCCATTTTTGCTGCGCGCCGGAGGGAAACCCGAATTGAACTGCTCTATTCCGTCGATCTTAGAGTTTCCAAATTTTATGCGTAAAAAAAGTATCGTCTATACGGTAGTCTGCGTATTTCTCAGCTTTTATTTGTTTGTAATGCTGGCAATTGTCTGCGATGACTATTTGGTGCCCGCAATGGAGCGCTTATGCTATTGTAGGTATTTCAGCCCCGGGGCCGTCCCCAGCCCCCAATATATTACACATACAATCTGGCCCAATTCTAAGCATTTATATGATCTATGCAGCGTTACGTATGTCCTATGATGTGGCTGGAGCTACATTTCTGGCCGCTTCTACCTCAGCCCCAGAGCTTTTTGTTGCCTTCGTTGGCACTTTCATCACGAAAGGTGATATTGGAATTGGCACTATAGTTGGATCATCCGTATTTAATGTACTTGGCATTGCTGCCGTTTGCGGCATATGCACGGGAGTGGTGAGTCCTATATAAGAATTCTACTATATATGCATATATAATCTTTGTATATAATCTTTGTTTACACGTTAGCTATCAATTTTAACAATTGTTCTTATGGGTGCCATGTGGTACAGTAATCCGAGTTGATACCATTTGTATATTAGGTTTAGGTCGATTGTCAATCAAACGGTCAGTCAATCAGTTAATCAGTCAGTCAGTCAGTAAGTCAGTCAGTAAGTCAATCAGTCAGTGAGTTTATCAGTCGGTCAGCCAATGAATTGGTCAGTCCAGCGATCAATCAATCGGTAAGTCAATCAGTTTGTCTGTTAATCCGTCGGTCAATCATTCAGTTGGTCAGTTAGTCAGTCAGTGAGTTAATTAGTCGGTTAGTCAATGAATTGGTCAGTCCGTCGGTTAATCAAACGGTCAGTCAATCAGTTAATTAGTCGGTCGGTCATCAGTCAGTGAGCCGGTCAGTCAGTCAGTCGGTAAGTCAATCAGCTGGTCTGTTAATCTGTCGGTCAGTCAGTTAGTCAGCTAGTAAGTCAATCAGTCGTTAGTTTACCAGTCGGTCAGTCAAATTGGTCGGTCCGTCGGTTAATCAAACGGTCAGTCAATCGGCCATCAGTCAGTCGGTTAGTCAATCAGTCGGTCAGACAATCAGTCGATCAATCAATCAGTCAGCTCAGTCGTTTAGCCAGTCAATTATTCGGCCAGTCAGTCAATCAGTACGCCAATCAATCAATCGGCTAATCGGTTAGGCGGTCAGTCGGTCAATAAGTTGGCCAGTCAATCAATCGGTCAGTTAATCACTCAGTCAATCTATCAGTCATAATTTTATAATTTTTGTGTACCATAAAAAAAAAAAATAGATTTAAGAACCTCTTCAAGAACTGAGAACTCAAGAACTGTGATCATTTTTAGTAACATATATATTTAATATTTTGATAATCTAATATTTGTAGACATCAAAATTGGACTGGTGGCCCATAACTAGAGATACTGTATGGTACTTAATATCAATATTGGCGCTCTTTTATGTACTCTTCGATTCCGCTGTGAATGTTTGGGAGGCAGCCGGTCTAGTAATCTTGTATATCATTTATCTCGTCGTACTTGTATTTGATCGCAAGATACAGAGTATATGTCGTGGTAAATTAGTTAACTGAATTAGTATTTATGATAAGCATATGATCTTAATGTGAAATAATTCGATTTACAGTTGTGGATACTGAGCGCGATATGATTGACGAGAATCCCCTGGAACGTGAAGAACAACCGTTGAAATCATTTAAGGAGACCGTGTGTGGGTACCCAGAGAAGGAAGATCATGTTTGTAAAAAAATTTGGTGGGGTCTCAAATACCCAGCCGTTGTATTGCTGGCCATAACCACGCCCAGCGCACGCTCCATATACTTCTTAAGCATGCTGTTGGCCGTGATTTGGATCAGCATTATTTCGTACTTCGTTACTTGGTTTCTCACCGTTGTTGGTTATAACATTGGAATACCTGATTCCATCATGGGTCTCACGATACTGGCAATTGGTACCAGTGTGCCGGAGATTGTGGCCTCATTTATTGTGGCCAAAAAAGGTGCGTGCCAAATTTCCATTCCAATTCAGTTAAGAAAACAAAAGTATATTCGACTTAATAACATAATTTCGAAAGCGCTTTTCATATGTTCCTGTCAAATCTAACATGCTGATATACTTAACATTTGCTCATGCTCTACCTGTTAATAATTTAACATTCACACATATCTAAACTTGTTCCTCTAAATCTGCGGCAAGGCGTTGCCAGCTTAATGTCGTCGCGTTGCCACTATGCTGCAACATTTCGGAATGAAATGAACCTTAGCTCATTGTAAATTTTGACATTCAATTGAAAATCGTGTAATTTATTGAAAAGTCTTTAAGGAATCAAAAATCTACAACATATCAGTAATACATAAATTCGAAAGCGCTTTTCAAATGTTCCTGTCAAATTTAACATGTTGCTCATGCTCCACCTGTTAAATTTTTAACATGCACACATATCTAAACTTGTTCCTCTAAATCTGCGACAAGGCGTTGCCAGCTTAATGTCGTCGCGTTGCCACAATGCTGCAACATTTCGGAATGCAATGAACCTTAGTTCATTTTAAATTTTGTAATTTAAAATTTGACATACATATATTAATTTATGAACTAGCACATTCTATATTTGTAAATTTCTATCTATTGAAATTTGATTGTTTATCCTCTGATTATTGTTGTTCATATCATTTTTAGGCTACGGCTCCATGGCCATGTGCAATGCTATTGGCTCAAATACTTTTGACATTTTCATATGCCTGGGCCTGCCTTGGTTCGTTGCAGCACTCGTCTTTTCCGATACTATTAAAGTGCAGTCATCTGGATTATTGATAACCACTGGAATGCTGGTTGGAACAGCGCTTGTCACATATATCTCCTTTTTAATTACGAAGTTTGTGCTCGGAAAGGTGGTCGGCTGGATTAGCCTTATCTCATACATCCTCTTCGTGGCAGCTGCCATCTATTTGGAAATGAGGCTACTCAAGAAAACGTGTGATATCGAATCCGCCGAGTATGCATATTTGAACAAAGAGGCTGCAAATTAACAGTTAACAGTGTAAATTAACGTAATTGAGTAATACAGAATTTTAACTCTCTCATTTTTTTTTGTTCTCGTTTTTCTTATGGTGTTTTCTTTTATTTGGAAGGACTTTAATTGTGAGTATTAAATACTTATCTCTATATATAAAACTGTTTGTCCTGACTGACAGACTGACAGACTGACTGACAGACTGACTGACTGACAGACTGACTGACTGACAGACTGACTGACTGACTGACTGACTGACTGACTGACTGACTGACTGACTGACTGACTGACTGACTGATTGGTGATCAACGCACAGCCCAAACCGTAAGAGCTAGGAAGCTGAAATTTTCACTGTAGTTACCTACAGGTTACCCAAACCTGTAGTTTGGGAAATTCCACCCGCAAGTGTGGAAAAATCGCGAAAAACGTTTGTATGTCACTTTTTTGTTTACGAACCGATCGGCCCCTAAACTTATTTTCAAAGATCTTTGTTCAAATTCATTTGAGGGGTGTTTTACACTGTTCGAAAAATCCGTTCCTCCTTGGTGGAAATGGGGGTTGAAGATTTGATGGATTACGTTTTATGTTTAAATTTATTTCCAAAGATCTATAAGAAAAATCATTTGAGACGTGTTTCACACTTTTCGCCGAATTCAAACTTTTTCGGGTGGAATGCGATTTAATGTTTTTTTATGCGAAGTTTTAAGTTGTGTCCGATTTGCTTCAAATTTATTTTCAAAGCTCTACATAAGAACTTAATGAATACGTATTTCAGCGATTTGGGAAATTCCACCCGCAACAGTGGTAAATTGGCGGAAAACGGTTGTATGAAAGTTTTTTGTTTACCATCCGATCGGCCCCAAACTTATTTTCAAAGATCTTTCTTCAAATTCATTTGAGGGGTGTTTTACACTGTTCGAAAAATCTGTTCCTCCTTGGTGGAAATGGGGGTCGAAGATTTGGTGGATTACGTATTGTGTTCAAATTTATTTCAAAAGATCTATAAGAAAAATCATTTGAGACGTGTTTCACACTTTTCGCAAAATCTAAACTCCTTCGGTGGAAAATGCATTTCAAAGATTTTTTTGGTATATTTTAAGTTTTGTCCGATTGGCATAAAAGTTGTTTGATTCCCGTTCGATCAAAGCTTTTTGAAAACATTGATTTTATAACATACGTGCCACGGGGAAGGCCGGGTTATACCAGCTTGTCGATAATATATCTGAATGTTTGCATGTATCGACAGCTGATCTCTGCACTAACATCGACTATCGATTGTAGTTAAAAAACTGGATATACCAGCCTCATCTTCAAAAACGTACGAATCTATTTAAGTTTCTACTGGCAAAGGACTTCACGATTGGAAGCCATGTCTATCTGCCTTTTATTCTTTCATAATGCCGACTTTTAAAAACTAAATTTAGTTTTCGTTGGATGAGAAACAAAAAATGTTTCATAAAACAGTTTTTCGCGTAGTCTCCGATTGGAATGGACTTTAAAAATACATACATAAAAATACATTCAATGAGACTTTAACATTCACGTATGCAAACTTGGACTTTTAATTTTCACACATCGGCGTGAATTTTACAAAAAGCGTGAAAGACTAAAAACAATTTTCATAAAGAGCTTTGTAACTGAGTTCAAATGCCTATCATATGGTGAGCATAAAATTTGGCATAACTATTTTTCACTAATTTTCAACACTTGCCGGTGAAAATTTAACACCTACTTAGCTCTAAAGGTTTTGTGTTGATCACCAATCAATCGGTCAGTCAGGACATGCAGTTTTAAGATTTATATTGATCACCAATTAATCAGTCAGTCAATCAGTCAGTCAAACAGTCAGTCAATCAGTCAGTCAATCAGTCAGTCAATCAGTCAGTCAATCAATCAGGCCTAACAGTTTTAGGGCTTTGGGGTTTTCAACCAATCAATCAGTCAGAACAAACAGTTTTACTATATATCTAAAGGTTTTGTGTTGATCACCAATCAATCGGTCAGTCAGGACAAGCAGTTTTAAGGTTTGTATTGATCACCAATCAATCAGTCAGTCAATCAATCAGGCCTAACAGTTTTAAGGCTTTGGGGTTTTCAATCAATCAATCAGTCAGGACAAACTACTATATATTTCGCTTTCTAACTAATTTTCCTATGTCTTTCTTCTTTTTAAATATGTACCTAATTGAATTGTGAGCACTGTCCGCCATATTGTTATACAGATTGACGCATCTATCTTTATATGAGCATGTGCAGGTGTGTGTAGTAGACAATCGCAATCGATGACGTCAATTAGAGGTGGTTTTGCGATATCGGGACAGCTACTCGAATTGTCATTGTCATTGCAGATACATATGCATATATATATATATATATATATTTAGATAAGTGCCACTGTGTGTGTGTGTATAATTTATATTATTGATAAGTATTTCGTACGCACCATTTGAAAATCAGAACAGATATAGATACTCCAAGCTATAGTACACATATATCAGATATAGATGGAAATATTTGGAATGTGCATGTCACAAAAGGGTTCCGTTTTAGATTTCGAACTGAAGCGGCTCTCGTTACTGTATATAATAAGAAGATAAGAGTCCGAATACAATTTAACTATTTATGTTCGTGTGTCTATAATTCGCAAGTGGTTTACGCATTAACTCGGGCACGAGCCCGTCCAAGTTGATGACATTTATTAAAATTGATTCAAAAATCAGATTTCCATCACATTGGTATTCGTGTATTTTATCAACATAAAAAGAAATTTACGTAAAGAATACAAAAAGGCTTGGTAGAAATATTACTTTCAAAAAAATAATGCTTAGGCAGATTTTTAAACCCTGTACCCATTTAAAATGGGTAAAAAGAATATAAGATAGTTGTGCAAATGTTTGTAACAGAAAGAAGTTGACATCTTCGACCCCATAAAGTATATATATTCTTGATCAGCAGCAATAGCCGAGCGGAGCTAGCCATGTCCTTCTGTCTGTCCGGCCGTCTATCCGTCTGTCCGTATGTATGAATGCGTCGATCTCGCAACCTAGAAGCGCTACAGACCTGAAATTTAGAACGTAGGTCCTTCTAGTGCCCGCGCAGAACTTGTTTATTTTCCATTATCGATAAGTTGCCTCGTTTTCAAGCAATCGATAGAAATCGATATCGAAATCATGTTTTTTGAGCTAATCTCTCAGGTCTTAAGAGCTAGAGTTACCAAAATTTGTCATATAGCTTCTAGAATAGTATATAAAAACTGCATACAGATCGGTTAAGAAACACAGAATTTATTAGAGAAAAGGCTTGGTTTAATATGCATTCAATAATGAGGTCAATTCAGCCCTATATCCAGCTAGCAAATTGTACAATCTCACCGAACTCGGGAACTGTAAAAGCTATTGTCTTGAAATTTGGTATGCAAGTTCTCGTATGTTGGAACAGATCAAATTTATTTGCAGCACTAAGACAACTTTCGGCGAATACCGTGAAATGCAATAAGAAGTGAACATACACTTTCTGCGCGTACCTAATCAATGGTCAACACACGATTTCGCAAATCGGTCGATAAGGACTAAGGCAACAGCACTTTATGGGGAAACTCGTGACCATAATCGTTAATTGAAAATTTTGTGTGGGTGCTGGTTCGACGCTAAGTCGCCTGAAGTGTGCGCTAATCTTGATGAGAGCCCATCTACAATGTCAGCTTTGAGTATTTCTTTTTTTGGCTCTGCCTCTGATAATCGCTGTACAAGAATGGAAACAAAATGGGAGGCCAAAGGCTGATTAAACCAATACCAATCTTATAATATAATCTTATAATATCATATTATTAAAATATGACCACATCGGCCAAACCGAACAAAGCCGGTTTCGTTGGATTAGATCAATCTTAACCATAATTGCCGCTGACTCTAAATGAATTTTGATTATGTGTGGGTGGCTTTTTATGAACCGATCTTATCGGACTGATCTGATCCAACCAATGACTGTGGCGTTTACGCGTGTTGCTTTATTTCGGGTTTTTGGGCTAGGGGCCCGATTAAGTAGCGCCCATAAATTAGCATGACAAAATCAATATACAGGAGGAATAATATTCATAGTCCAGTGTCAATTCGGGCATAAATCTGAACACTTTCAATTAATCGAAACAATATAAGATTTTTGAACATTTTTTTGCAATTTCTTCATTTATAGATCTTTAGATAAGAAATGAAATTGTGGCGCGATTCCGAGAAATTTAGAATGATTTATGGCTAACAAACATAAATTAATCAATCCAGGGAATCCAAGTGTTCAAATTTGTATCTTATAATATCTGTTCAACTTTGTATAGAAATTGACATCTAGATCGAAGTCTGCGCAACTTTGTCTTGTCACGAACTCTTCGAACCGCAAATAAAATCTTTCACCGCAAGATAAGAATTCCTGTTACCAAATGTTCATATCTCGTTGTTTGAGTGTACGCCAAAAGGCTTAGTTTAATCGTATGAAAGCATCAGTTAGCTATATTATATATCATATACCATATATATTGCATTTTGTATATTATAGATCAATCTTTCACATTTAAGACCTATTATCATATATGCGTATAGCATAAAAAAAGTACTGAATATCAGTATAGAAATTTTTGATGGACATATCTTTCCAATTGCAGACATCTAAAAAATTGTCGGGATTGCCTTGAGAATATATCATATATCACATACCATATATAGTATATCACAGATCGATATACATATATATGTTATATTTACACTTCCAACATGCTTCTCTTTCAGACTCAGCTTGAATAATACTGAATATTGATATTGATATATTTGATAAACATATCTTTCGGTTTCCTAATATAACCTATATCCTTAACCTTATATAGTACATCATAGTTCGATATATATATATTTAAATTTTCTACAGTCTCTCGTTCACACTCAAGATCTTTTATAAAGTATACCTCGGACATAAAAAAGTCCTGAAAATGAATATGGAAATCCCTGATAGACATATCTCTCGTTTTGCAGACATCTATAATCTTGATTACCTAGAGAATATAACATATATCACATACCATATAGAGTAGATCAATATATATATATTTACACTTCCTACATGCTTCTCTTTCAGACTTAAGATCTTTTATAATATCTAATATATATATACATATCTTTGATAGACATATCTTTCGGTTTCCTAGTAAACCCAATAATTTTACTTTTTTACAGCCTCTCATTCACTCTCAAGATCTTTTATTAAGTATACCTCTGACATAAAAAAGTGCTAAAAATGAATATAGAAATCCTTGATAGACATATCTCTCGGTTGGCAGACATCTAGTAAATTGTAGGGATCAGGGCATTGATTGCCAGTTAAGTCCGGCACTTAAACTGTCTATCAGTGTTATATGCCCATGTTTTCTACAGCTCTTGGGGGCTTATAATTCAAATGTTCTTTAACCAAAATTGATATATGGCATGGAATAACGGCGACTACGCCATTGTTTCGGAAGACATGACGTCGCAACGCGTGCGATTTGTGGCGCCATAACAAGAATGACGTCCATAGTGAAAGACGGCAGCAAATTTGGAAATCAAACGAGTATTATGGACACAAACAAAAAGTACAATATTAATCAATGAGCAGAAGAAGCGTGCTGATTTGATTGTCCGCCAATCTCTCAGATATGATAAAAGAATATATAAAAATAAACGCATTCCGTACAATGATGTGTGTATACAAGGTATTACGTATTTTGTCGGCATGCAGGTCGCATAGTGACGATTTACCTCACATTCCGCGAGGCGTATGTTCTGAAACTCTTTGGTATTTGTTTTTATATCAGATTTGCAGCTTGCATATTAAATTCCAAGAGCCTGGCCCACAAAGATCCTGAGATCTGACTACGAACCGCTTATAACTCCCATTCCCAATCTTAAGTCGCAGCCAAAAACAAAGCAAAACTGCTTTTAAAAGCTGGGAAGGGCATTAACTAGTTGGTAATACTCTGGTAAAAATTATACTTTATTATCAGTATAAAGTAAAAAAATAAACCTATCAAAAGCAAACTCGTGATTAAGAAACTTTATTGAACAAAAAATCAATCGTAAGATTTTCCAATGCACAAAATAGGTTCATCCCTAAATGACTCATAGGGACAATTCACTCAAGATTTTCGAAAAACCCCCCGATGTTACAAGTTCATAAAACTTTAATGCTGCATTAATCTCGAGTCTGATATGAGAAATGGGGTGTACCACAAGGAATTATGAAGTGAAGAATCAGAATCAGAAGTGAAGGCAGTTGGAAATGTCAAAGGAGCTGTACTTTATTGTTTGAACTATGGGGAGTTATTCAGATGTCGTTGGGGAGTTATTCAGAAGTCTTAAATGTATATGTTCGTTTGTCATCAAAGTATGGGGCTCTGCGGTTGTCTAGGCTAACATCTCTTCGATCCAATATGGCTAGGAATATGTTTGATTAGCTTTCATTAGAATTAATGATCTTTAAGCGTAAGACTGGGATAGGCTTATAGTTGCAACTTGAATCTTAGGATTAAGAAGTCAACCCCCACAAGAGTAACCTAACCAAGTCACTAAGATGAAAACCCAGTTGACTTATTAAAAAACGAAACAAGTTTTTTTAAGGATTTTTAATTTTTATAATTCATTTAATAATCAATTTTTTGGTAACATGATAAAGCGCCGATTGTTTCCAAAAACAAAAAACATTTTTCCACAAAAAATCCCATTTATAAACTGATTCCTTCCTTAAAGTTATTTGCGTATAGAGCTATTTGGGAATAGAGATATATAGTTTCTTTAAGAAGACGTTTGGTTCCCCAAAAGAAAGTATAAAATTCACTCGGAACTAGTTCCGAATATCTGACTCGATAGTGCAAAATCTTTTTTTTGTGTAGGGTTAAGAGGGGTTAAGCGTTATTTCTGCATATATATAAAGCTCTATAAGACTAAGAGACTGAATGATTCCCGGAAAATGTTGTCTAGAAATGGGTAAAACCTTTTTTGATGTGATTAATGTTAATTTTTTGTTCGATAAGCTTACAAATCTTGTGGAAAACGAAACAAGCAAACCCAGATGGATGGGCAATATGGAATCGAAGAGACTTCCATCTGAGTGTAACATACACTATCATAAAATCATTATACCCTTCTTTACCATTGCGGAGCATACAAATAAGATAATAATTGAAAATGTTGACAAAATCAGGTAATGCCCGCTAGTCGTTCGATAAGATCTACATATTGAGAAAAGTCCCATGCACTTTAAGATTTATTTAGGCAAATTAATGCAAAGGGTTCGATTATAATTCGCACTTATTATATAGATATAGGATGTTTATTATATAAATAAATAAACTACTTGGGCCTTGTCTTTTGCCAATTACGTATATTACAAACATGTGTAAGCTGTTTTAATCATTTTTTTTTTGAATGAAAGCAAAAATAGTTAATCCCCCCAAGTTGGATAGAAATTGTTGAGTATATATGCATACTGAGACAGCAGTTTTGATCGGCGTTCGCCGTGATCAGTGATAAGTGATCAGTGATCAGTGATCAGTGATCGTCGTCTATTGCTAAATCGAGAGTGTTACAAATGGTAAAAGCACAGCTGAACTTTGCCCAAGCACAGGGAAGTACAATCAAACACTCAAAGCAATTAATGGAAAATTGCTTGACGCGTTCCGATCGCTGATCACAATTGGCAAAACTGTTGATCAGGATCGCTAAATGCACACATCAACTATTCATATATGCATATACGAAAGTGAAATGCTTAGACGTGCCAGAGAACTGCGAGAACTGCGAGAACTGCGAGAACAGCGATCAGTGATCAGTGATCAGTGATCAGCGATCAATCTGTTCAGCACGTGAGCCCTATAAATAGCTCTAAATACGAAGTTTCCAGTTAAGCATGAAAATACCCAAAGTGTTTCAATTGCTTACATTACAACACACACACATACACACACACACACACACACACACACACACACTCGCGCCTCGCATACAAATGAGCTTGAGCTGCGCGGCTTCTGACTGCCGGCTGTAGATTGATAAACTGTCGCTGCAATTGTTGTTTTCCTTTGCTCTTATCAGAACGGTAACTTCTCTATTAATGAGTACACGTTACAAACTCTGCTCTCAGCGTGCATGTGTATATATGTGTGTGTGTGTGTGTGAGCGTGTGTGTAATTGAGTGCTGCAGCTAAAAGCTGTTGCGGTTGATCGACTAGCGGCTGCCCTCTACAAATCAAAGATTTGCTGTAACAAGCTGAAACCTAAGCTAATTGTTGTGTAACATTCTGTTATATATATATATATATACATATATACGCCGCAAAAATTTGCTGCATAGGCTTGTATGCAACACTCTTTAAAACTTGTGCCAACATTTTTTTAAAAATTTGGAATATCTTTTTCTTATTAACAGCAAAATCTTGCGTGGATTTTCTAAGGTGTAGGGCACAAATTTGGTTTGCGTGTGCACGAGCGATTAACTTGTTGTGCCTGGCAATTGTGATCTGTGAAATGTGCTCAAATCGATAGTTATCGATTTTGGCAAAACTATAAAATTAACTTGAACAGTGTATGCTATGCAAGCACCTTAATAGCTGTTAAGGAAGATCTGGTCAATAAAAGTTCTGTGCTATGCTTAAGGATGTGAAATCGATATTTATCGATTTGGGTGTAAACTAAAATAGCTAAGTAAAACCTGCTTATGTTATATCTCGTGTGCCTAGCTCTAATATACTCCAAGATTAGTTTAACTAATCATAAACTGTAAATCGATAATTATCGACTTTGGCTAGAAATAGCTAGGTATTATCTGGAGTCAACTTCAACTGGCGTGCCTAGCTCAACTATACTCCGGGATATATTTTACAAATGAGAAACTGTAAATCGATAATTATCGATTTGTATAGAATCGGTATTGTTATCGATAAACAGAAACAAGCATAAAATGCATAAATCATTTGATGTTCGAGTCTAGCCTTGATGGTTTCGTTGGTAAAACAGACGAACTTGACTATAACGAACCAGCTAACGCCCCCTTTTGTCTGATCAATATAATTGCATGATTTCAATCTACCCTATGTAAGTCTTTTTATGCAGGGTATCAACGAACATAAGAACGACGACCAATGCGACAATGCGATACCAAAAAGAAGCGACACACACGCACACACACACACACACACCGCTGCACACCTGCGCATCGCACACACAGCAAAAACAAATCAAAAATCAAAAATCGAAAATCAAAAATAAAAAAAAAAAAAAAAATCAAGAAAAAAAAAAACTGAAAGCGAAAACGAAAATGTTGTCAAGTGTTCGGACCTGACTGCACGCCAAGCAGAGATAAACTCTTCATAATACAGAGAAGCATTACCAATAACGCCTTTAACGCTGCCAGCGACGTCGACGTCGACTGCGATGCCAGCGGCGACGGCGACAGCGACGCGAACGTCGCTGTTTATTATTAAGACGCGCGCGCGCTGGTCGCACTTAATTAGTTGTGCGATACAATTCTAGCCAAGCGGTTGACGCAGCAGCGACTGCACTCGAGAAAAACTCTGAAACCAGAAAAGCGCCGAAAACAAACAACAAATAAATTCAAATCTATTCATAAACTATTCAAATTTAAATGTAGGCAGCTGCGACGCATTCCCCAAAAAAACGAACAAATTCGAAAACCGAAAACGTCAACGAAACCGAAACCGAAAACGAGTTACGTCGCGTTGCGCATACGCCGTGTGTGAAGCATCGGGAAAGAGTTCAGAGAAATTTTTACCAAAAAAAAAAAAAAAAAACAAACGCCCATTGAAAATATACACACAACATTTTCATAGGCGCACGTGTGGCACGTGTTGCTTCTTTTTTGTTTATAATATTACAATTTTTTTTCTTGGCTCATCAAACAAAACAACTCAAGTTTCGATATTGTTGTATGTGTGTGTGTTTTTTTTTTCTTTCCGAAATCGTTTTTGTATCATGTTGAAAAACGCGCGCCTTTTGATTGGCGTTTTCATATTGTTTGCCAGCCTCATAACGGATACACAAGCCACAGGTGAGTAAATAGTTATAACAACAAAAACAATAACAATAACAATAACAATAACAATAACAATAATAAGAATAAAAAAGAATTGTGAGAAATATGCGTAGGGAAATTCCGTTAATGGCAAGTGCCAAGAAATCCCCGAAATTCTCAATGAATGTGCCTGGCATACAATTGAGCGGCCACAGCATTTGATAAAGTGCAAGAAACGGCAGACAAGACAGTTGGGTGTGCCCGACTGGCAGATACCCTAAGCCCCTACCCTATTCTTCTTCTTCATCTTCTTCTCCTTTCTCCCGTTTCTTCTGTTTCTTCTGTTTCTTCTGTTTCTTCTGCTTCCATAAGCCGCACACTATGCTCGAGATATGCAGTCTTGATTAACGGTGACTCGGTGCTTACAGTCCGATCTTAATGAGATTTTCACTGCTTTAATATGACATACACCATTATTAATTTGTTTGTTCCATGCGAAAATATTCATATTCAATGACATTTCAATAACTTTTGATGAAAACAGAAGAAAATGTCGAAAAGTGTTATTATAATTACTTTTGATTAATGCCTAAGATCGATATGTTTGTCGAATTATGAAAACTTGACGAGATGTCAAAAAAAAATATGTAAAGCTCGTTGTGCGTATCGTATGGATATATTTTTGCACAAAATTGCAAGTCTTGAGCTTTTGTAGTCCCCGACATCGACGCTTTCCCATAGACAGACGGACGGACTGACTAGATTGACGCAGCTCATCGTCCTAATCAAGAGTCTAAGTATGTTCTTTATGGGTTCTAAAGTGCTGCCCATTACAACGGATGACTCATAGATCAAATATATACTGTTATCTGTCATATACATATAACTTCTTCGGCTTGTCACATCGATTATTCATATTTAAATATGTATATCGTGTGTGTTTTGAATAATGTTGTTGACTTTAACAATTCGTTTATTAGTTTATAGAAACTGGCACACAATAAACATGTCGAAAAGTAGATCGATAAATTTCAACGAATCATGTGGACTGACAAATATGGACCAGCAAATTGTCAGGTATTATTCAATTTTTTCATTTATGTAATTGCATTGTGGCCTTTTTGTGACGGTTTCCCTAAATTAGAACACTTCTACTCTAGAACTAAGTAGTTCAATTTTGGGGCACAACATGAAAGCCAAATAAATAATTGCAATTTTGTTTGTTGTTATAGTCGATATATTTCGATTTCTTTTTAAATTATACAGCTTACTTAATTCGAAGATTTATTTCTATTTGGGCATATGAAAAACGATCTATCAAACTATTGTAGTCTTATCCCAAGGACAATTCAAAGAGTTCTTGAGTCTAAAAAAATGGTGTATATAATTATTGCATTGTTTTGATTAAATGTATAATATTAAGATTAACATAAAGTGAATAAATTGACTCTGACAATTTTCAAGAGTTAATTAATTGATGATAAGTTGTTCAAATGAACGATTCGTTCACTCAATTGAACTAATTCCTGTTTTAAATAAGATATAAATACTATGTCCAAATACTAGAAAATGTTAATATAAAATGAACTTTTTGTATCATATAATAGTTTAAATGGTGGATAAGCCGATAGAAGAGTTATTCAAATGAACTGGTTCTTGATTTACAATACACAAACATGGATAGGTATAAAGTATACGCATAGGATTTTTAGGGAAGTGGTATTTGTATAATACCAAGTCAAAATACTGGAATATATTAACATTAATTTGAAACATTTCGATGTTACAATAGTTTACATTGTTGATAAATTTGTAAATGAGTTGTTCAAATGAACTGGTTCTTGGTTCGCATTTCAGGCTAGGATATAGGTATAAAATAGACGCATTGACAGAAGTAGTATTTTTATTAATACCAACACAAAATACTAGAAAATAAATAATACTGAAATAAAAAACCTAAAACCTCTTTGTCGCAGTCTTGGAAACTTTTAAATGTAATACCAAAAGGACAATATAAGAATGTGTACATATATTAATTTTATGTAATAATAAGTTATGTATATTATTATCGGCAAATATATAAATATATATCATGTTAAGACCCCACACATTGAAGGCCATCATATTTGTAATTCTCTGCAATAAATTTGCGGGCTTATTTAATCGAAATCTGGCCCAAAAAAACACACAGAGCAACAGACAGCTGTCAAAGTATAGAAATAACAATATAATAAAAGAAATGCAGCATTTAAATCATGGAAATAAATCAAAAATTAAACGAGCAACAGGTGTTGCCGCATGAGGACAGGGCGAGCGGGCGGAGGGGGGAGGGGGGACTATCAGTAGCAGCTGCTTTGATAACAAATGAAACTTGCCAAGATTGAAAGATTGAGAGATTGAAAGTGCACGTGTATGGCCATCAATACATATATAGAGGGTCGAATAATATGTTTTTTGGGGCGTGGTCCTAACATCCCAATGCTGCAGCTGATAAGCACAGCGGATATATATATACATATATATATGTATATGTATATATAAAGAGGCCAGGTCAACTGTTGGGAATCGCTGGGAATTGTGTCAGCTGGGGCGAGCATTGATGTAGCATCTGTGATCTATAATCGTCAGCTGATAATGAGTTCCAGCTCCAAATTGATTTATCAGCATGCCCAAAAAATACATATATAGATATATCTATAGGTATGCCATATGATTGTGTGCTGGAGGCAAATGTCATTCGATTGATTGATGCGATTATCTGACAGCTGTTTATGGCTGATAAATCGAACAACAACAAAAGTACAAAATGTCCAAAAAAAAAAACCATTAAAGCACAGGAAATCCAATTTTCATTTCATTTTTTGGTGAGTAGCACTTTTCGAGTGTCTGAACCTGAAAACCTTTGATACCACGATTATCATGGATCTGCGTGCGATAGACAAAAGAACCTGATTATTATGGGATATAGTTCGGTAGTTAGGAACCAAAGACCCAACCTTTGAACAGCATAAACTTAAAAGGAAAGAAAAAACTGCCTTCGGCCTGGTTTGCCAAATTCAAATCCAATTCCATAGCCATAGGCCTAGGTCTAGGTTCCAGCCTTGCTTTGTCATATATCTAGAAAATGCAAATGAAACAATTTAACTTTATATTTATTTTCATATTTTTATATTATAATTTTGGTAAGATAATTGACTTAACTGACTTGATTGAACCGAGTTATAAATGCGCCCTCAAAAGTTTTTTCGGGTTTCGAACCAGTTTGGATATATTGGAATCCCGGTTCAAGCTCTTTTTGCAGCCTTGTCTTAGACAGCATAATATTCAACCCATCCCAACCCGAGATTCTTGATTCTTCTTCGAAGTTTGAACCTCGTGTTGCCTTTTGCTTCTTTTAGCAAATACTGCAATTGGCAAAGTTCTTCCCATAACTTGTAGCTTTTGTTTAGTTACAAATTTGATGTACATTTTCATATCTAGAAACCTAAAGATTCGAATAATCAAGTAAATAAACTGAGACTGTGCTTCAGAGGCTATTAAGGGAAAAATAAAATCATGTTTCCAATAGAAAGATACTTATTAAAATAAAAAAGAAGCAGACTGAATTTTTGGTAGTGTTGGGATCAGAATAGAAGATTAGATTGTAGATTAGAAAGACATTAAAAGCAAAAGATGCAAGATCAATTCCATGTACAGCCGAGCTGTTTTAGAGTTCCAATCCGGAAGATACGACTAAAAAGTAAAAGTGGTCTAAAAATGCTTAAAAAAATCTTAAAACTCTTGAAAATTGTATCAAAACTGAAGCATGTAAAATCTCTTAATGCAAACGTTTATTTATTAATAATTATATGACTTAGTTCTGTTCGATCTAAGCGATATGTTTGATATATTCCAGATTATTTGAATGATATTGTGCAATAAATAAGCTGAATAGAATATAAATAATCAATTTGTCAAACTAAAAAGATATGATAGAAGAAGCTGACAGCTGCGATCAGCTGATCAGTTTAAAGTTGATTGTCTAAGTAGAAGCGCTTCCAAGAACTACTCGAAAATAGACGGCACATTAGAAGGAGGGTTAGAAAAAGTAACGTAAAAAAAAAACAGATAGGATCGTGTTCCGAAAGTTGTATGTTATTTCTCCAGAATTTTATATGGTTATTAGGAGCGTAAAGCGCTTAAGAACACTCGTGCTGCAATTATCTAGTAGTTTTTTTTTTTATATATGTATGTATGTATTTATTATTATTTGTCTCGTTTTTTGTTTTGCTTAGTTTTTGGCGTTGCCACCCATTCATAATTGTTGCATAAACAAATGCGAGTAATTATCGTGAGCGTCATACGATATACATACATATGTACATACGAATTATATGCCCGCACTCAGCATAAGCGAGGGTGATTCCCGTTTCTTGATTCTTTGGAATTGCGCCCGGGGCAGCGACCCCAAGCAACAGCCCCGCACCCCGCATCCTCTATAAATAAACGGTGCTTTTATGGGGATTTATTAGAAAACATTTCGGTTATTCCATCTAATAACATTTAGCTGGAAGCATGAAAAGGCATTTCTCTCCCTCTCCCACTCTCCCTCACCCTTCCCCCTCTCTCTCTCTCTCTCTCTGTCTCTCTCACTCTCTCTGTAAAAACAATCTCTGGCGAAATATGTTTTGGAATTGAATGCGCTTATCCAAAGCTCAATCATTTTTCCCAGCGCATTCATGACGTTTTTCTATTTCTATTTCTATTTATTTTTATTATCGGTTTTTAAATACGCGTCGCAGCATTCCCCAACGGGCTGTTCGAGTATTACGAGTATTATTTGTTTTGGTTTTTATTTTCATGTATTTGTCTAGTGTTTTGTTTTAGTTGTTGTAACTATTCTTGTTGCTGTTGTTGTAGTTGTTGCCGGCGCACATTTATCATCATCTCTGGTATTTGCCGAACAAACAGGCAAACAAGCAGCGCTAGACGACGGCGCCCTCGTTTGATGGCTACACTAGACAACATAAAACGGGTCGACAGCTCAAGTCTCAACC